CGTCGACAAGATCGCACGACATCTCGGACGCAGCCGTGGTCATCCTTTCCTCGACGGTTCTGCAAGGAGGAGGAGGTGGAGGAGGAGGAGGGTGAGGCGAAGGAGGAGGCGGAGGCGGAGGCGGAGGAGGAGGAGGAGGAGGAGGAGGAGGAGGAGGAGGAGGAGGCGGAGGCGGAGGCGGAGGCGGAGGCGGAGGCGGCGGAGGAGTCCTGTCTTCCTCCGGGGCCCCAAAAACGTGTGGTGACGGACCGCGCGGCGCCCTCGGCATGCCCAACGGACCTCTCCGCGCGGTCCGTCACCAAGCGGTGTTGGGCGGTGTGGTCGGCACTGCTCCGAAGACCCGGATGAGACGCGGCGGCGCCCTGCTGTCAGGCCGGGCATGTCCCCCCACAGGCGGTCGTTTGACGAGAAATTGAAAAAAAACCCACCAAGATTCAAAAACAGTCGAGCATTGCCCAAAAATCGCCCCCAGACTATTCTGTAACTATTTCTGAATGCTCCCCCAACGGAGGGACACGCCCGACTCACCCGTGCCGGAGGATGCGGGGCCTCCGCCGCCGCCGCCAGCAGGGCACCGCCCAGCGCCAGCCGCACCAGGGGTGCGGCGCCGCCGCCGGCCGTGCGCCCGGCCTGGCGGGCGCCCGTGGTGAGCGTTTTCTCAGGCGGCGTTTCGACATTGGGCGGAAGGATGGGGGGGTGCTTGGCTCTGGACCTCTGCTGAACGCGGCTGTCTGAAACAGGGCGTCCATGATGGGAGAGACTCCACCTGCCTCCACTCCATGGGGGGGGAGGGGGGGTGCGAGGGCCCGCGCCGATCGGCAAAACAACCAATAAAAAAACGATCACGTGGCGCCGGCGTCGTCCGTCCGCAGGCTCCGGGCGCTTGCTCGCAGGGGGGGGGCGAAACAGGGCCGCCTACCATGAGATCCTGCGTCGAATGTTCTCGAGCGGGGCGTGTTCGCCCGATTTCTGTCGCCGGACCCCCACGGATCGATCCAGCCCCAGAAATGCTGCCGAAGCAGATGGTCCAGAGCTCTGGTCGTGATTCTTCGCGACGTGGCATCTTGTTTCGCAACGTCGGAGCGCACGGGACCTCGGGGCAGGTAACGGAGCACAGCACGCCCGGCAGTGCGCAGTTACCTCTCTTTTGCACGGCCTCGCGGGGCCGCCCTGGAAAATGGCGGCCGCTCTGGTCCAGACCGCGAGGCGCGAAGCGCGACGGTCTTGCCGCCCCCGCGGGCGATTAAGAATCAATGGGGGTGACGAGGCGCGCAGCGTTCCAGGTTCCTGCGCCTCTTGGGCCCGCAGGCCACCCTGCGGCCACATTCCTGCAGTCCTCGATTCCCCCCTCGTTCCACCATCGTTTATTGCCCTGTCCCCACCACTGCGGAAATTGTCGTTAAATTCCAGCGTTTCTAGGACCCCCCCCAAGATACAGAGATCTCCCAAACAAATGGAGTGCCAGTGGATGCGACCTTATCGTCTTTCCCGCGCTGCGTGAATGCATGCGCGTGGCTGCGTGCGCGCAGACGCACATATGCAAGCTCGTTGCGGATCCCCCACCAGGAATGGGCCGGATTCCGCGGACACCAGCCGCCGCCGCCCCCAGCAGCGAAACCCAGCCCAAGTGATTGGTGTATACCATTTTTGGTGTATGCCGACACATGTTGTTTACTGGGTGGAGTGTATACACAACAATCTGGCGTGATTGGTGTATACACTTGTCGGTTTATACGCACAATCGTGTCCTGATGGGGTTTGGGGTATACACCGATATGTTGCACTCAAAATGCCCTGGCACAGGCATCGTCGGCGGGGGCTGGGCCGGCTGGGGCCCGCGGAATCGGCTGGCCATCCCCCGACTCGGGCTTGCGCCGTCGTCGTCATCGGGACAACGCCGTTGCGTCTGCTAAGTGGATTGCCACGAACACCATCCTGCGGTAAGCAGCTTTCAGGGCCCCCGCCGGCCAGAAAATGCGCATCGCCGACGCATCGCCGATGCCATGTCGATGCTCTTGTCGGAGCTGCGTCGGCCTCAAGCTTGCCAGCCTCCAGAGTCAGGGGCCCGACGTAAAGCCTGAAAAACATACACCTTCCTTTGGTTCTCTCAGCCTCCCCCTTTTCCCCATCCTTTCCAACACCCTCGTCATCTTCAAAGGGCCTCCAGAGCGCCGTGTTCGAGAAATCCACGCGGTGGGACTTACTCCTTCCGGCACTAGGTCTCCTTCTTTTCCGCTCGTCCTACTCCACCTCTTCCGCCACTAGGTCTCCACCTTTTCCTCCGTTCCCTCTCGTCCCCTTCCCCCCGTCCGTCCCAGCGGGGACAAATGGATACGGCGGGGAAGGATGAGGAGGAGAAGCGAGGAGGAGAAGATGAGGAGGGAGAGGAAGAGGAGGACAAGGACGAGGATAAAAATGAGGAGGTCGAAGAGGAGCAGGAGAAGACCGAGGAACGGAGTACTTGGTGGGATGACCCTGCAAGGGAACTCACATTCCAAGCGTGCGGGCTCGCGTTCGGGGATCCACATATAACCCCATCGCCGATGTGTCGGCGATGCGACGCGATCCCCGACCCCATCTACTCCGACCCTATCTGGGAGGTCTAGGATCTGTCGCCCAACCACCACCAAACGCCCCACGTGCCCACCCTCCTGGCCGATTCTGGGACGCCTCGACCTGGAACGCCCGTGGTGACGCCGTCGCCGCGCCGACACGACACGAACATACTGCTGGAGACCTCCTCCTGAGCAAGACGACACGTTCTGGACGGAGCGCTGGCGTGTCACTCCCAGTGCTGCTTGCACGGCCTTCTGTGGGGCCTCTGAAGCAGATCGCTGCAGAGGAGGGCAAGCGCTGCTGCAATCCCGCCCATCCCGCCTGCGCTTAGCTGCGTACGCGACAACCTTGCCAGGAACCGAAGTCATGACGATCCGCACATGATGCCCAAAGACTGGGGCGGACAAGCCCTGCCCTGGGGGAAGACCAACCTCACGGGAGAGGCGACGAACCGGCGATCGGCGGCCGACGCCTCCTGCCCCTCCGCACACCCGTGCCATCGACGGCACCCCCACTGGTTCTCTCAGGCCGTTGCTCGGCTCGGCGACGAATCGGCGATCGGAGGCCGGCGCCTCCTCCCCAACGCACACCCGTGGAATCGACGGCACCCGAACGGGTTCTCGGGCCACTGCTCGGCTCTCCAACGGCCGTGCGCCCCCGGAGCGCTCCTGGCGGGGCGCAGCTGCTGGCGAGCCGAGCCAGCGATAACTGACGAAGCCGCGCGAAAACCTGCGACCTCGAGCCCGGTTGCCCCCCCGAACGTGTGCCCCGAAGTTGACCCCATGCAAGCCTATCCTTGAAGGGCCCCCCCCCCCCACACACACACACACACACACACACACACACACACACACACACACACACACACACACACACACACACACACACACACACACACACACACACACACACACACACACACACACACACACACACACAACACACACACACACACACACACACACACACACACACACACACACACACACACACACACACACACACACACACACACACACACACACACACACACACACACACACACACACACACACACACACACACACACACACACACACACACACACACACACACGCACGCACGCACGCACGCACGCACGCACGCACGCACGCACGCACGCACGCACGCACGCACGCACGCACGCACGCACGCACGCACGCACGCACGCACGCACGCACGCACGCACGCACGCACGCACGCACGCACGCACGCACGCACGCACGCACACACACACACACGCACACACACACACGCACACACACACACACACACACACACACACACACACACACACACAAATAACTAGACACAGATGACAGGATTCCCCATATTTTCTCCAATGTTCTGGGATTTGTCTTCCCCCCTACTTCCCATATTATCCCAAAATTTTCTGGGGAATCGACGATTAATTGTGCCTGTGTGTTTTTTGCCCCCCCTAACGTGTGCCCCGAAGTTGACCCCATGCAAGCCTATCCTGGGGGAGCGAAGCAAGGGCATACAGTGAACAAACTCGGAGGTCTGCGCGGACTTTTCGGATGGGTGCTGGACCCCCCAGAAGCGGCGGCGGAGGCGCCGCCACGGGGGCCCAGCTTCTATCCGAGTAATCCGCGCGGACCTCCGGATGTGTGTTTATGTCATTGCTTGCTCACCGAATCATTCCTTCTCCATGCTCGCCCCTGCTCCGCCCTCCGACCTCTTCTCCCGCTTCCTCCCTCCTCTTCACCTCACCTCTTGGCCCACCCCTCCCTCTCACGCCCCTCCCTGCGTCTCCCTCCTCTACCACTCCCTTCGCTCTCCGCCACCCGACCCTCGCCTCGCCGCCCCCAACCCCCCCTGTGATTTTTTGTCCGCCGGAGGTAACACGAATTACCCCTGGGGGGGGAGCCGGTCGGGGGGGGCAACGGCAACGGCAGCCGCGGCGTGCACCCATCAGGGTGGGTCCGCGAAGCGTCAGCTTGTGATAACGACAACTTGGGGGCGTGTGATTTTAAAACATGGTTTCCGCGCCCGACGCCCGCCCGATTGAAACGCGCAGCGGCGGCGCCGGCGATCAGCGCCGACGCTCGGCCACCAGCGAGAGGGCGACAGGAACAGCACGGACTGGGGGAGGGCGGGGGCGCGGGAGGCAAGGGCGGCCGCAGTAGGGGCCGTCGGCGCCGCCGCCGCCGCCGCCGCGTCTGTCTCCTCGTTCGCAGTCGAGCGGGGCGAGCGGGCCCTGGAGGAAGCGGGCCCAGAACCCTGGCGTTCCTGCCCGGACCCGCTCGGTCGTTTTTCTCGGGAGCGGCCAAGGGGGGGGGTCCAAGAGGGGGGTGTGCAAATCATGACCGGCGGCACGTGCGCGGCCCAGCGGGGGGGGCCAGGGACGTAATGAAATAAGAAGAGGCGCCAGGAAATCTGGGGAAATATCATGGCCCCCGCCATGATATCCACCCCCCCCTAGCCATCACCCCCCTCTTTGCCGCCCCCGATTTTCGGCTGCCGCGGGGGCCGCCGCGGGCCCCGGGACACGAAGGCGGGACAGACCTGCCGGGACCCGCCTCCCGCAGGGCTGGCGCGCCGCAGCGAGGCCACAGAGGGCGAGCGGGCCAGGCGCAGAGCGAGGCTCGTCGCGTCCGAGAGGGGCGTGGGAAAAAGGGGCACGACGTCCACCTCCTCGTCCTCCTCGTCTTCCTCCTCCTCCCCCTGGTCCTCGTCCTGGTCCTCGTCCTCGTCCTCGTCCTCCTCCTCCTCGTCCTCCTCCTCCTCCTCCTCCTCCTCCTCGTCCTCCTCGTTCATGCCGTTTGACATCATCCGCGGCGCGGTGGCTCCCCGAGCTCTCCGAGCCCAACCGCATGCTTAAAACAACCGTTTCGCGCCCCGCGGGCTGTATTCATCTACCCGGGGGGTGTCACCCCTTTGTTAATCACAGGCTGACATTGCGCCACAGTGCTCGTGTACGCCAGAGTGCCTGCGTGCACTACAGCGCCCGTGTACACCACAGTGCACTGCCCTGCGTGCACGTCGATGCCTGCGTGCGCCAGAGCTCCTGCGTACTCCTTGCAATGTCCTTTGGAAATTGCGAAAACTCAAGCGTGTGGCCAATTTGCAAGCGTTACCATTACGGGGGTGGGGTTCTGGGGGGGATACCACGTGCCTTGAAAGAACGGTCCCGTCGTCGTAACCATAACATTGCCCTCGAGCGAGCTCACGGCCTCCGGGCCCATGGTGTTCCCGCGAGCGTCGCTGGACCGCTCACGGGGTGCGTTCTGACCCTACCTTCGAGGCGAATCTAGCGGTGGCGACGAGGGCTTCCCAGGGGGCCCCAAAGAACGAAAACGAGACAAGCTCAGCAAGACGGTGTACAGAAGTATACAGAAGGAGCCCGACCATAAGAAACCTTCCGCGAGAAACCCAACCCTGAGACCCCAGGACGTCCATCGATGTTGGGTGTGAGAACGTCACGCTTTCCATGGTAGGACCATCGAAACCCAAGAAACCCAGGGAACCCTGGAGGCAAGCAGGGTGTTTCTTGGCATGGGGTATGTGGCTCCCATCGTACTTAAGGACCACATCCGAGAAATAATTTCGAGCACCAGGAAAAGGGTCGAAACAGTGTCGGACGAGTGTCTCCCGGGGCCCGACGCGTGAAAACTGTTGAGCTTCGATGTGTTCTGGTGCTCGAGACTCTTTCTGGTGATTAAGGATAAAGTATGTTGGAACATCAGAAGACATGGGCCCCACTGTGTACTTAGATGACTCCTAGATGGGGTCCGAGTAGATGGGATCGAAGGATCGCGCCGCATCGCCGATACGTCGGCGATACATCGGCAATGCATCGGCGATGCATCGGTGATGCACCCGCGATGCATCATCGACGTCTGCGATGCATTGGCGACGTCGACGTGAAGCAAATCGGGCTGCACATCGAGCCGCATCGGCGATGCATCGCCGATGCGGCGCGACCCTCCGACCCCGTCCCATCTCGGAGGCCCAGAGCACTTTTTCCTGAGTGGCAACGCTGCCCCTGAGCTCGGGGCCTCCGGGCCCATGGCGCCCCCGCGAGCGCCGCCCAGCGGCGGAGCCGCCGCGCGCTGAGCTCGGGGGTTGCCACCAGAGGTACCCCACTGTGACACCGGCGCTTCGCTCCCTCTTGGGGCCCCCGGGGGCCCTGACGGGCCGGGCGAGAGGGGGAGATAGCAGAGGAGGAGAAGGAGGAGGAGGAGGAGGAGGAGGAGGAGGGGAGGAGGAGGAGGAAGAGGGTTTGAGAATCTGCTCACGCAGCTGATGTTCCCGGCGCCTCCCGGCGCCGGAGGCGGTCATGCATCGAGGAATGGGCCCCTCGGTGGGGCTGAGACCAGCTGCATGCAGCAGATTTCGTAACCCCCCCCTTCCCTATCCCCCACTTCGTTCGGCCCGACTCTGGGCCTCGTGGAGGGGTGCTTTGGAGGCCGTGGGGGCCTTCTTTCGGCAGCGAGCGAGGGGGGGAAAGTGAGACGGAGGAGGTCCTCTCGGAAGGCGGCGGGACTCTTCTCAGAAGCCCTGACGCCTTCTGAGACGTTGTCCTCGTGCCCTCGTGCCCTGAGGCTCAGAACACTTCTCAGAAGGCCAGGGGACTTCCGAGCCTTCTGCGAAGGCCCGCCTCCTCCTTCTCACGTCCCCCGCGGGCGCGCCGCCGATCTTTCGGGAGCGGCCAAGAGGGGGGTGTCCAAGAGGGGGATGTGCAAATCATGACCGGCGGCATGTGCGCGGCCCAGCGGGGGGGCCAGGGACGTGATGAAATGAGAAGAGGCGCCATGAAATCTGGGGAGAGATCATGGCCCCCGCCATGATATCCCCCCCCCCCTAGCCATCACCCCCCTCTTTGCCGCCCCCGAGGCAGCCCCGGGGGGGGGGGGGGGCACCCGGGGCACTTCTGGCACCACCCAACCGGCGCGCCGCTACATTGACGCGCGCACGCCCCCTGCGCGGGGCGGGGCCGCAGCCCCCCGCAGGGGAGGCGCGCCCCGCCTGCGGCTGGCGACGCGCGCGCGCGGGACGCTCCTGCTCCGGCCTCCCTCGTCCTCCTGCCACCTCCCTCCTCCTCCTCCTCCTCGTCTCCTCCTCCTCCTCCTCCTCCTCCTCTCTCCTCCTCCCTCCTCCTCCTCCTCCTCTCTCCTCCTCCCTCCTCCCTCCTTTCTCCTACCTCCTCCCCTCCCTCCTCCCTCCTCCCTCCTCCCTCCTCCCCCTCCCCCCTCCCCCCTCCCTCCTCCTCCTCGTTCCTCCCTCCTCCCCCCTCCCTTCTATCCCCGGCCGCCCGCCCTTCCCCCCTCCTCCTCACTTCGCGGAACAGGAACTGGGAGACTGCATTTGCATGGCCTTCATGATCGAAACGTGTTCCAACCACAAGGCGAACAAGAAACAACACAACGGCAATCTTGGCATCAACATCTTTGCAGCTCTCCGCGAACTGGGCTGGACAAGCTACCACAGCACCTCCAGCAAAACTGGCGCAACTTGTACATCCATTCGCAATCAAAATGGGGCTGCGCCTAGCCGAAGCGCGATACTGGAAGGGCGGCACACTTTCAAGCTTCACAATTCGGGCAAGTCACCGCACAAACGGAAACGGGGAGACTATTCCCAAAGCGGTTAATAAGACATTTCGGACTAAACTATTACCCAAATACGATGCGCAAGTGTCAATCACAGTGGAACCGAATTCGCAATCCACATCGCGCGATTACGCCACCAATAGGAGATACGAAAACTGAGTTCTGCAAAGGTCATCATGGACATCGTCGGGGCCTTTCGCAACGTACTGCGGCAACCCGTGGTGGACTTTAACACCAGCGACGAAGCCATTGCAGTGTTACCACAGCGTCTCGGACCTGGTCTGAGTCATACGCACGGCTAGCGGAGCAACTACGGCAGCCAAACATCATGCAGAGCAACGAAGCCCACCCACACCTGCCTTCTGTAGTAGCAGAGGCTCGTACTGATACATGGTTCGCTTCTGCGGACTGCGAACATGCTACACGTACCAAGTGTGGATCCAGGCCAGGACACCCACACGGAGATTGTTTTGGATCTCAAATGGCAAATCGCGTGAAGAAGGTGCAGCACCTCTTGCGGCAAGAGGATCTGGCATCACATTGGATGGCCTGGGCGTAGGACAGCACGCAGCACGAATGACAACGAGCAGGTCAACCTGACGGAAATCACCTACGCTGAGGATGGCTTGTATCCCGTCCTAGACTCCGCAGACCGCATCATCAGCAAGGCGGCCAGAATCATCCAAACCCTCATCGACCAGTTCACTGTTGCTGGCTAAGGCTCAACATGGAACCATGAAACCTGCGGCGATCATAAATATCAGAAGACCTGGCGCAGTTGCAGCACGGCGGGGGCTTTGATTGACCAATCAAGGAAACATCAAAACGAAGTCATATACGCAAGGAGATGTAAACATATACGTGGTTCGGAACCACACACATCTGGGACGCATTCAAATTCATATTGGAACTATTATGCTGGAACTTGTCGTACGTGGGCGCATCCAGAGATCCGAGGTCAGAAGCGTGCGCAAGCATTTTTGGGGCAAACCCTATCATCGACACCGACGCGAGGGTCACGATCGTCGACGCTGCCTTGATGAGCGCAGGCCTGCACAACGCAGCAACGTGGCCAACCTTGGACAAAAAGACGACGGGCAAATTGAACAGCATGGTGTTGACGGCATATCGATATGTATTTCCGAACTCAACTGACGAATCGAAGACGAAGCCAGGACACGGGTCCCGGGGGTTGTGACCCTCCCCCCCTGGATGAAAGCACCCTCCCGCTAGGAGAACCTTTCGGGTCCAGAGCGTCAGCGTCGACGTCGCCGTCGCCGTCGCCGCCGCCGCAGCAGCCGCCACCGCCGCCGCCGTCGTCGTCGTCGTCGTCGTCGGTGTCGTCGTCGTTGTCGTCGTCGTCGTCGCCGTCGCCGCCGCCGCCGCCGCCGTCGTCGTCGTCGTCGTCGTCGTCGTCGTCGTCGTCGTCGTCGTCGTCGTCGTCGTCGTCGTCCCCCTCCAGGGTCGGCGGCACAGGCCGCAAAGCCTTCCCAATTAAAGACAAGCCCGGACATGGACAAAGAGGAATGGGATCAATCGGGGATCTCTGAGAGTCGGCGGTTCTGGAGGATGTGTCGGGTGCCGCGGCCGTCCCAGATCGCTCGGGACGCTCTGGGACGCTGGGAGCGCTCCGCAACGCTCTGAAACTATGTTGTTCCTGTCCTGGCCCCGCCCGCAAATCCTCTGGCGTGCTCCCCCAGGAAGGGATCATCGCAGCCAGGCTCGGTCAACGACCCCCTTGTGTGCTGCCGCCATGTCACCAGGCGGCAGCTGCAAAGCAATGCTGTCTCCGTACCCTCCCACGCGCCGTTTTTTGACAACGGCGAACTGCACCTTCCCCGCCCGGGTCTGGCCGTCCGACGCGCGTTTCGCGCCGGCGAAGGCCGGGGCCGGGATCGCCGCGCGGCGGGGCTGAGTGGCGCGGACCGGGCGAGGGTCGATCCAAAGGCGAGGAGGTGGGAGGAGGACAAGGAAGTGGAAGGGTTTTCTTGCTGCTGCGCTGGAGGGAAGGCGATCCTCGCCCTGGAATTAGGTCGGGCACGTCCCCCGATTTTGGACGAAAAATATAAAATCCCCAAACGTACTTAAAACTAGCAGCAACAACAATAACAATCATTTTAAGACTGTTCGCCCTTATCTGCTCGTGTGTCCCATAACGCGTATTTCCCAAACCCTCGATACCCGCCCTCTGCGTCTTCGATCGAACTCCGTTTGGGGGGTACACCTTTCTTCCCTGCAGGCCGGGCCCCGGCAAGCGGCGGGGCGGCCGCGGACCGTCGGCCTGGCCAGCGGCAGCGCTGATCGGCGGGGCGGCCGCGGACCGTCGACCCGACCCCAAGAGGGACGGACAGGGGACCGACCACGACGACGACGACGACGACGACGTCGACGACGACGGCGACGACGACGACGACGGCGACGACGACGACGAGCGAAAGCGAGAGAGAACGACAGAAGGGCCACAAGGACACGAAGTAGGCCACGAAGGGCGACAGCGGGGACACGAAGGGAATGCGAATGGGGCCACGAAGAGCGCGAACGAGCGGGGGCCACGAAGGGCATACATATACTGGGCCGCGGAGGGCAAGGACGGGGCCACTGAGGGCAGCAACGGGGTCACGAAGGGCAGCGAGGGGGCCACGAAGGGCGACAGCGGGGTCACGAAGGGCATGCACATGGGGCCACGACGGGCGCGAACGATCGGGGGCCACGAACGACAGATCATGCGGGGCCACAGAAGGCAACGACGGGGCCACTGAAGGTAGCAACTGGGCCACGTAGGACAGTGAAGGGGCCTCAAGCGGCGACAGCGGGGCCTCGAAGGGCATGCACATGGGACCACAACGGGCGCGAACGAACGGGGGCCACGAAGGGCATACGTATACTGGGCCGCGGAGGGAAAGGACGGGGCCGCTGAGGGCAGCAACGGGGCCACGAAGGGCAGCGAGGGGGCCACGAAGGGCGACAGCGGGGCCACGAAGGGCATGCGTAGGGGGCCACCACAGGCGGGAACGAGCGGGCGCCACGGAAGGCAGCGAGGGGAGCACGACGGGCAGCGAGGGGGCCGCGAAGGGCTGCAACGGGGCCACGAAGGGCTGCGACGGGGCCACGAAGGGCAGCGAGGGGGACATGAAGGGCGACAACGGGGCCACGAAACAAAGCGAGGGGGCCACGAAGGGCTGCAACGCGGCCACGAAGGGCAGTGAGATCCCGATTCTTAGGTAATCTGTGAGGGAGTCCTAAACGTGAGCACGACTCCTGTGTGGCTGGGTGTCGGGAGCGCAGCGCTTGAGTAAATTGCAAGAATTTCCAACGCAAGGACGCTATTCTTCAGGAAATTGCAAGCGAGTCTCCAGCGAGAGCGCGACTCCAGAGCGCCGGGAGAGCGATTCCTGAATGAATTGTAAGGAAAACCCAAGCGAGAGCGCGACTCCTCAATAACATGCAAGAAGTCTCGGGCGGGAGCGGGGGTCCTGGCTAAATTGTGAGGAAATCTCAGGCGGGAGCCGTTGTTGTTGTACCCTGGGGGCCAACGACACAATTTGACCCTCAAGATTTTCCCTGATACAACACAAGGTGCGAGCCCCGGGAAGGGCACTTCAATCAGGAAAAAAACATGTGCACCGGACGGGGGATCAACAATAATTATTCTTCAGGAATGAGAGTTCAACACCAAATGCGAGAGAAAATCGTTCCCTGACTACTTTTTACTATTGTAAAGTATTCCTCCTGTAGAGGGACAGGCCCGAATTAACCCTGAAGGCTGCGTGCCCAGGCCCGATGGCCAGGCAGCCAGGCAGCCAGGCCCGATGGCCAGAGCAACACGCGGGAGGGCAGAAACCGAGGCTCCCGCCGCTTCGCCGAGGGAGGGGGATACTCCTCCTCCTCCTCCTCCTCCTCCTCCTCTTCCCTCCTCCTCCTCCTCCTCCTCCTCCTCCTCCTCCTCCTCCTCCTCCTCCGCCCCCTCCTCCTCCTCCTCCCTCCTCCCTCCTCCCTCCTCCCTCCTCCTTTTCCGTCTCCTCCTCTGTGGAAAACCGACACCAAAACCGCCAGGGACCACCAGCGTGATGAGCCAGGGAGGGGCCCCCTGGTGCTGTGGTCCCCCCTCTCGCTCGGGACCTCCCCTCTGCTGGGCTCGGAAAGGCATCGTGGACCTCCTCGCTGGAGGTGGCCCCCTGGTGGCGTTGGCGTCGCTTCTCCTTCCCCCCAGGGGAAAGACGGAAAGGGGGAGGAGGAGGAGGAGGAGGAGGAGGAGGAGGAGGAGGAGGAGGAGGAGGACCATGGCTAACCCAACACATGTCAACGATGCTGCAACGCACCCTCCCGTGTTGGGTCCTCTCAGCGTGAGGCCCTGCTCGTGTTTTGCTTCGCTGCGCGAGGCACCCCCTGTGCAAGACGAGCGCCCCATGGGCCCGCAATGAAGGCGCGGAAGCCCCCTATTCGAAGGACACCGATGGCGGCTTGTGCATCAATTGCACTCGGACCCAGGTCCGAAAAACATCCTTGGACCAGGAAGAAAACGACACCACCCCACCTACGGCCCAACGGGGCATAGCGCATACCAGGAAATTCTGGCGTGGGTTTTGCTTGGTATGCGCTTCGGCACCCGACGGGCCGTAGCGCAACATGGAGGGCCGTAGGTGGGGCGGTGTCGTCTGCTTCCCGGTCGAAGCCTCCAAAAACACGAGACCCTCCGGGGGCCCACACCGAAGAGCCTTCGAGGGTACCCTACCCAAGGATGCACGAGAACACACAACAGACACGAGGAACGGTAGGGTACCCTCCCCGATCCGACCTCGATCTCCTGCACCGGTCCGACCGCACACGGCGATGTAAGCCGGTGTCTGTACCGGGCGGGGCTGTCGCTGGGTATTGCCTTTAAGCTCCAGGCCCCAGCTCGTCGCATTCTTTCCAGCTCGAAAGATACACCGGCGGACTCCGTCCGTGTAGCTGTTGGAATGCTTGCATGTTTGCGCCGCGGGACCGTAATTTCATAGCGAACCGCCCCGGCCACCCGACGCTTTCGGCGGGATGTGCGACAGGGAAAGCCCTGCGTAAGGAGAAGGGACGGACGGAGAAAGGGACGAGGAACAGCCGATGCAGATAAGGAGGACGAGGAGGAGGAGGAGGAGGAGGAGGAGGAGGAGGAGGAGGAGGAGGACGAAGAGGACGAAGAGGAGGAGGACGAGGAGGAGGAGGAGAATAAGGAGGAGGGGAAGCAGCGGAGGAAGAATAGGACGGCGAAAACGAGAACGCGGAAGACGAGGTAGGATACGGAGACGGAGCAACCAAAGCAACAAACGATCGGACCCAAAGCTTCCCTGAGCAACGAGACAGACAAACATTTGGATCTAACTGGTTCGTGAAAGCGACTTCCCACTGCGAAGGGGCGTTGTTGGCGGGGGGGCGCACAAGCATGGAAACGGCCCCGGGGAGGCGCACTCCACTGTGCGCCTCATGGCACCACCCCCTTTACAAAGCCCTTACAGCAAAACAACTACACAGGCCCCCCACGGCGTGCGCCTTTCCTCCGTCGCGTCGCGGGCTTCGTACGCGTTTGGGCGACAAATATTCCACCCTCATCGAGCGCAACCCCCCTCAGAGCCAAAAAACGCTGCCCTCAACCTGGGCCGAAAGCGAAACCTCAGAGGCCCCAAGCACCGCCCCAGCAGACTCGGGGGGGAGTGCGCCACGACGTGCAAGCTCTAGGTGACGAGCACTGCCTGGGAAGGTGGGCGGAGGAGGAGCAGGAGGACGACTCCGAGAAGCAGGAAAACGATGGGGCCCGACCGAGCGACCGCTCGAAAACGTGGCCAGCGGCAAGGCCCCCGAATTTGTGACAAGCGGGGCACACGGAAATATTAGCTCTACTGTGACATCAGTATCGGAGACGCAGTAGCAATGTTTACATCGAGTTCCCTGGTAACGGCAGCAAACAATCGTTGGACACGCGCCCTCCGACGTCCAGCGGGGTTCTCAAATCCAGAAGGTGGCTGAACAACATCTGAAACTCTAGCGCGCTCCCGTGGAGTCGGATCAGCACTATGCCCACGAGCGTTAGAGTGGCCAAAGACACAACCAATTACTACCCGAGAGCCATCCTCATCCACAGGAGCAGGAAGTACATCCAAGCCAAAACCAATGACCAAAGACTGACTTCGCGAAGGCGTCGACGAGCTCACTTGCCCTCCAGCTTGTCCAGGAGCTTCTGCGCGTCGCGCTCGAGGGCCCCTTTCGGGGCTGCCCCGAACTTGCGGACGCCCCCGATCTTCAGGAAGAACTTGATGAGGGCGGGCTCGAGGGAAAGGTGCGACTGGCCAACTGCGAACGTCGCGCCGTGCATGGGCGGCTTGTTCTCCTGCTTGCGCGTGAGCCTGAAACGGCAAGCTCTCGCGCCGGTGGCCACGGTGTCGACGCCGTTCTTCTTGATGGAGGTCCAGCATTGATCGAATGGTTCCTGGACCACCGAGGGGCAAGGCCTCGCGATGCCCGATGGCCCTGATCATCGCCGCCCAGATCTGCGCGAAAGGCGGGCCCGTGGGCTGCGCGCTGCCGCCCGCCATGCGCCGCTCGGCCTCCTCGTGGCTCTGCCGGCGGCGACTGCGGCAACGACGACGATCGAAGCGGACGAAACGGGAATGGTGGCGAACGCCGCCCCGCACATTTCGCGGAGCTCGGCTGCGATGCTGAGCGCCGAGCGGGCGAGGATAGCGACGAGGGCATTCAGCGCGCCTCCATGGGCCCCCCCCTCCTCGCGGGCCTGCTCGCACACGCGGGCGCGCCACCTCTGGGGCTCGCCGGCCTCGGCGTCGGCTGCAGGGCTTGCGAGCGCCCAGGCGAGCGTCGCCCCCACCGCAGTCTGCGCGGGGAAGTAGGCAGCGGGCGCGGCGCCAGGTGGGCGCGCAAATGCGCCTGAAGATCGGCCAAAACGCCCGCGGAAAAGAGACAGATCGGGCAAGACAAACTAGACGGCAGTCGGGCCTCGGCAAGATTTCGCGCCCAACCCCGTAAGCAATGGCCTCGAAACAGACTCCGAGCTAGACGCCGTCGGGCGCTCTTACGAGGCGCAAATGTAACCAAGCACAGGCAATATTGGTTGGTGGCCGTGACGACATGAGTCAAGAACCGATGCCCATGGTGACTGATGATGTGATTATGTAAAGCCCGTCGGCATGGAAAAGACTTGCCCCGCCTGTTGCCATCCGCATTCAAGATGGCGCGCGCAAGCCCAGATGAAATCACAGCCTCACGTTCAAGCGCAGCCCCTGGAAAAAAAGCAGACTGCCAAACAGGGCGGGCGCGTGCCCAGAGAGCAGACGGCCGGAGCTGACGAACATCAATCCCAGTAAACTCATCTGCTAGGATGAGCGAACAAGAGCAAGCAACGGCGATTGAGCTCGGATAGTAGAGAGGATCCGTCCTCAAGCTCATATGGACTGTCAATCTCAGCAACAGATCGAGCAGTCCACGACGACATAACAAAACTTAGACGACCACTCGGCAGAACCACAATATGACGACGCAAAACACTGCCACCAAAGCCCCCCAACACACCGGCAAGACATTTTTCGGCGCGCCCCGGGAACCTTCGAAACAAAAAACACCGCCACAGCCTCCACCGCCTAAGCGCGGCCTCCGAGGAGAGAGGTGGCGCGGGAGGTCGCCGACCACGACGTAGCCTGGCCTAGCCCAGCTTAACGGCAGTATATGGTGAACACAGTCCGTAGTCGTAGTAGTTGTTGGGGACTAAGTAAGACCGCCTCCAAACATGATAACGTAACGTTGTAGATCTTAGATATGTGTAGACAGCGACGCAGACTACGAGGTGCACCCTGGAGAGCTCAGAAACCACCCATTGAATGCCAAGCCTGCCGAAACGCACCCATTCGCGAACGAAGCCCCACCTCAATGTTAGTTGGGTTACTGCGCACCTACGCCCCCGAACTCTTGGTCTCAAGAACAGCTTGCCCATGGGAACGTGGCCCGCCATGACAGGCCTCGGAAGAAAAAAAAAAAAAAAAAAAAAAAAAAAAAAAACACGACCCCTCGCCCCAGACATCAACAACCACGCCCCGCTCACTCAGGTTCCGCCTCCGACAGGAACGAATCCAGCGAGGCATTGGAGCGCCGGCTACTTTCCGCAATCTCGGCAAGATCAGCATTCCGAGGGAGAACTAACTGCTTGGCATAGTCATCCACGCGCTTAGCCAGCGAGCAATGAATCCGCTGCGGCCGAAGAGAGAAACGCCCGTTCGTGATCTCTGGCATCTTAGCGCAGAGGGGGACACCTCGCGGGCCCCAGCAAAGCTGGTCAGCGAGCCAGCCCCCGACGGGTATGATGAACGTCTTGAAAAGAAAAAACATTCGCGGCCAACCCATCCCCCATCAATCCCCCGCTTCCAGGTGCAAGATGAAGGTCCGTCTCGCGCCCCCGAGAAGTGACAAGTGCAACATGCGAGAAATATCTCGCGTGAAAATCTCAGGGGTCGCGCGCGAAACGCCCGGGGTGTCGCGCGTGAGAAGCCTCGGGCCATCGCGCGTTAGAAGCTCGGGGATCACCCGTTCCATGAGGGGCCGAGAACTGTAAGCGAACGCGTTCGCGAGGCCATGCGTATTCGCGATGTGCCGATACCCATCCTTCTTCAACCGCCCTCCCGCGATCCCGCGGGCGACCCGAGCGCGTTCCCGACTGCGAAACCGCAGAAACCCATGGTATTGATCGGTGCCTTGCAGAGGACCCGTCTGGGCCATGGCCCCAGACGTCCAAGACTTGCCGAGGGGGCCGAGGAGGTGGATCCATAGCGTTTTGCCGTCGGGCCGAGGGAGAAAAAGCACCGCGGCTACGATTCCTAAACACAGGGGCCTGACCGCAAGCGCGAATTCGTGCAAGGCCAGACACCAGCAGCTCCTGAAGTCACGAAGATCGCGAGGGCATCGGGCGGCAGTGACCATTCAGTGGCGGCCCGTCTCGCGCCAATGTTTGCTTCGCGCGTAGATCACGCTTAGCAGAAATAGGATGCTTACCAAGTACAGCCACTGGCCCTGGAACACGGTCGACCCACTGTGCGCGCCAAGCACAACAAGCATGAACAGCGCGCGCAAGCATGCCCCCCTTCGGGGCCAGGACGCGAAACAAACTTTCTCAACTGGGCGGCATCGTCGACGGCGCCTCGGATCGCACTGTAGTCACGCTTCCTGGGCCCAAACCACGACCCTTCAGCGCGACGTGCAAGACGACTTGCCTCCGCCATGCGGCGATGACGCCAGTGTTCCCGCATCTCCCGCATCAAGGCTTCCCCCCGTGCCGCCGCCTCCCGCCGTTGAAACACGCGACGCAGATGAGAAATATGACGCAGACAACCAACGCCCCAATGACTTGCTCGAAAAACGCGTCGGCCGTCCGTCTGGCGAGCAACTCCCGAAGCAGGGTCGGTTCACCCTCCTTCAGTAAAACCAGCTCGGCGGTCACCGCGTAGCACGCGTTGTATAAGAGCACCACGCGGAGCGAGAGGAAGGATACCTGTCCTACGGCACAGAGAGCGTTTAGGAGGCCATGGTCACGAAACGAAAACAGTCAGCAACAGGGCATAACCTAAACGGTGATGTTCGTTTTCGTTTTGTTTTCGTTTTCCCTAGTCTTGTCCTACATCCGCCTTTGACGCAAAACAAACTCGAAACGAAAACAGCCCACGAAGTCGCCAAATCGCCATGTAGGTCCACCCATGGTCAGCAAGCCTCTGGATCGGGATAGCCTGCATCTCCCGACTGTCTCGCCGCACTGGGCTACAAGGAGACATCACACTTACAAACGGGCGCAGAAACGCACAACAAATCGATGGTACTACTGCCGTCGTTGTCCAACAACAAAAGCACCGTCTCTCGAGCACAATTCGCGGCGCAGGGATCGTGGGCACTCAAAACCCCGGCAACAACAACGCCTGCATAGTGGGACCTCGTGGAGAACCCGGGGGCACCACTCTATGCTCAGCAGCCCGATGCCCATCCTTCCCATGGTGAAGCATGATCTACCCATCGTTCAAATCCATCCCAGCTATAGTCGTCTTTCGCCGCGGGAGCGCACAGAGCTGAGCGGACAACCACGCAGTCAACGCATCACAATTTTTTCGGTTGTTAACCAAGGCCCCGGGTTCCCGAAGTCGCGGTGGGTAGAACAGAACAATACTCGTGAGATCGGCCATGTGATTTGTTGTCCGAACCGAAAAACCACGCCCCTGGAGGTACTCTGATGGCACAGCAACGCGGATAATGTCCCGATCACGAACACGACGCCCTAGGATTACAGAGCACCCAGCATATGCACTGACATAAGAATCAAACTTACTATACCCGCGTCAACTACACCATCCCCGCCTGGCATGGAAACAACACGGCGCCAAACCGTTGTGTCTGCCGTGGCCTTCACCTCCGTCCCGACCAAGCACACGCAGTCGAAACTGATGGTGAGGCACATAACCTCGCCCAACCTGTCATCGGAATTCGCCCTGAGGGGTTGCAGGTGCCAGCTATCAGTGAAATCGTGCGGGAAGCCAGCAGCCCCTAGAAACTCAAGAAAGGGACAAGGAAAATGTAAGAGGAAGGTGTGCTGCGCTCCCGCTGCGGCATGACCTGAACCGAGGGGCTGGCAGAGACGGAGAAGCAAGAGGACGAGATGGAGGTGTGGGGGAGGGGGAGGAGGTGGAGAAAGAAGGGGGACAGCAGCAACGAGGGGAAATAAGAGGGGCAAATGGGAGGTGGAGGAGGTTGAGGTGAAGGCGGAGGCGGATGTGGTGCAGGAAAGGCGCAGCGACAGCAGGATGGAGAGGGCGATAGGGAACAGGAACAGGAGGGGAGGGGGTCAGGCTACCTCTCGCCTGCAAGATCTGGGCGGTTGGTCACCGACCGCGGGACTCAGGCTCGGACGAGGGAAGACAGCTCACCCGGTCCTCCACATTCAGCTCCACCGAATGGGCTTGTAAAATCGCGATGGGGGAACTTGAGCTGCGAGGAGGAGGCCAGAGACGAGGGGGGGCGAGACGCGGAGAGCAGGGGGAGGGGTGCAGAAGGGCGGGGGCGCGAGGCGGAGGAGGCGGGTGCGGGGAGGAGAAGACACTGAATGAGGAGGGAGGAGGCCATGGAGGGAAGGAGAGGAGGAAGGAGGGAGAATGACAGTATGCCGATACCGCTGCTCGATCTCTCTACGCGATTTCGATGCGAACCCAGCCGCGCCGCGATCGGGGATCTTCTGACCTGTGTCAGTCCAGACCTGGGTTAGTCAGGCCTTGCAGAATCCTGCAAGGCCTGCAAGATCCGGCACCCAAACCCGGGTCAATGCGAAGGATCCTGCAATCTCTGAGGATCCTGCGCCCAAGCCCAGGTCAGTGCGCCCCTGGCCCTGCAGGATCCTGCAATATCTGGCGCTCTGACTGACTCCCGTTTGCATTGACCCCCGTCTCTGGAGCCCCGACGCGAGGGAAGATGGGCTGGGCGGTATCGGTACATGCTCCTTCTCCAAGAGGGCAGCCTAGAGCGAGCGGAAAGAACGGCGGCCCCAAAGGCCCGAGCCTCGCCGTGTGAGGCCGGCAGGGCTTACAAAACACCGCCAAGCGCGACGAGGCGCCACCCACCTCGTGTCCACTTTGCGCTCTCATCGCCCTCCCTCCCCTGCTCCGCATCCCGCCCTTCACCATCCTCGGAGGATCGAGGCGTTGGGAGGCAGCTCCTGGGACGTCTTCGCGTGAACGGGCGAGGACTATTAAGCCCGACTGAAAGGCCACCAGGCCAGTCTGCACCCGATGGACCATCGGCAAGAGTTCGCCCGATTCGTCCTGATGAAGCCGGGAGAGACCCTAGCAAATACACCGACCCTGCTAGCCACTGTGAGAGGGACATCTGGGCTGGTCGTCCCAGGGCGGTCCTGGGAGAATCCTTTCACTCGACGCTTCTCCCCCCCAGTGGCCACCCTGGGCCCCCCAAACTCGCCAACCCGAGGTGAAGCGGGCCAGGTCGCCATCGAGGCCGTGAGTGAGTCGAATGGAAGCGCTGGCGGACATCGACATCCATCACCACCACCACCACCACCACCTCTCCACCCATCCTCGTCCACCTCGTCCTCTTCCCCTCCCTCTCCTCCTCCTCCTCCTCCTCCTCCTCCTCCTCCATTTCCTGTTCCTCCTCCTCCTCCTCCTCCTCCTCCTCCTCCTCCTCCCGGGGCGCCTCACAGCAGAGCGCGGCGCGGGCCCGCACGCTGCGGCGCGGGCTTCCCTGGGACCCGGCAGTGCGCAGGGCAGCCGGTGCAGAGCCTACCTGGCGACGTGCCCGCCCACCGTGGCGAACTCCTTGACCTCGGCGGAGGGCACGGCTCTGAGGGGGCCCTGGGACACACAAATAAATACACACAAATAACAAGTTTCCCCATATGTTCCAATCTTTTCTGGGTTTCTGTCTTCCCCCCCACTGCCCGTATTTTCCCATATTTTCTGGAGAATCGACGATTCCTTGTGTCTGTGTGTTTCTTCCCCTCATGAGGCTCCTTCTCGTCACGCCTCCTCTTGATTTTGTTTGCAGCAGCACTGTCCGCCTGCGTAGGCCCCACACAACGGCTTGCTGCTCCCTCGATGTGCAGGCGACGTGGTGCGCCCGTGCGGCGTGAGTTAGGCGGTGGCAGGCACGTGGTGCAAGCTGTGTGGTGCAGTATACGTCGCACAAGATATGCGGTGCAGTCTACATCGTGCAGGCTGTGTGGTGCAAGCTATGGTGTGCGATGCTCGTGCCGCGAGACATGTCGTGCAAGGCAAGCTACGTGGTAAAGCTGTACGTTGCAGGCTGTGTGGTGCAAGCTCTGTGGTGTGCGATGCTCGTGCCGCGAGACATGTCGTGCAAGGCAAGCTACGTGGTAAAGCTGTACGTTGCAGGCTGTGTGGTGCAAGCTCTGTGGTGTAAGCTGTGTGGTGCACGCGATGTGGTGCCATCCACGAGGTGCAAGCTGTATGAGGCGCCCACGAGGCGCCCGCGGGGCGGGGAGCCGGGCAACCTCGACATACCCTTGCCGCGCGGGGCGCCCACAGCGCACCTACGGGCGGGCACTGGGCGGAACCCTGGCCGCTCCCCCCCCCCAGTGCAGGGCGCCCACGACGAGGCGCCAGCGGGCGGGCACGAAGCGAGACCCCGACGTGCCCCCCAAGCGCCTGCATGGTGGAGCGACAACAGAAATCGATGCCCCCAGGATTGAAAGTAATTCGAGAATGAATAAGCACGTGGTTCGCTTATGTAAGGGCGTCGACCCGTTCCATTGTCCGCCACCGTGCCGCCGGGCACGGAAGGGGCGTGTCCTCACGTCCCAGACCCATCCTCTAAGCCTCAATCCTCACTCCTGAATTCGTTAAGAGAAGCCCGGACACCTCGCTTTCAAATCTCCAAGGGCTTCCGCGTACCCCCTGGGGCTTCATGCGTGTCCCCGGGGCTTTGCCAAGTAGTGGCGCGTGACTTTGTCGGGCCCAGGAGGGCCTCGAGACGGGCCAAGGAGGCCCCGAGCGGCCTGCAAGACGGCCCAAAAGGGCCCCGAGGCGCACAAAGATCTGCCCAAGACGCCCAAGATGGCATCAAGATGGCCAAAGAGGCTTCCAAAACACCCCACGAGGCCCCCCAGAGGCTTCCCAAGAGGTCCTCAAGAGGCAACAACCATGGATTGCCGCTGGGTGTTTGGAAGATTTTGACGTTCTCGCCTTTTCGGTTTTCCGACGCTCCAAGACGGCTCAAGAGGCCCCAACAACCATCCCAAACTGGCCAAAGAGGCCTCCAAGAGAGCCCCAAGACGGCCTAAGCGCGCCCCAAGAACGCCCAAGAGGCGCCCAAGACCGCCCAAGAGGGCTCCCAGACGGCCCCAAACGGAGCCCAAGAGCGGGAACACAAACTGCAAATCCGGCATTCCGCCCCAAGGGGCCCCCAAGAGGCTCAAAAGGCGCCCAGGAGGCCCCAAGAAGCCCCCGAGAGGCCGCGAAGAGACGGCAAGATGCCTCCCAAAAACCTAAAAAAGAAACCCTAAGAGGCCCCCAAAAGCCCCTTAAGAGGCCTCCGAACTGACTCCAAGGGGCCCCCGAGAGGCCTTCCACCAGATCCCAACGAACATCCAATAGGGTTCATGCCCACAACCCAGGCACGGTGGCGGGATGGGCCGACACATTAGATCCGCCGCCCCCTTTTGCTTTAGCAAAGGGGTGCCTGGCGTGCTAGACCCTCTCGCTTTTGGTTCTGGTTCTTCTTAAAAAAAACTCTCCCAGTGGGCTCCGGCGCGCCCCGCCGGGGCCGCGGAAGGCCCGGAAACGAGCTCAACGACTGCAAACAATCCTTCCAGATGGCTCAAGAAACGGCAGTTTCGCTCGGGACATCCTCACAAAAATCGCGAAGATGGCCCAAGATGGCCTCGCCCAAGATGGTCCAAGACGGCCTCCAAGACGGCCCAAGAGAGTCCAAGACGGCCCAAGAAGGCCCAAGAGGCCCCCCAGAGGCCTCCCAGACGGCCCAAGAGGCCTCCAAGAGGTCCTCCAGGAGGGCCCGAAGAGGCCAAAATAATTGATTTTCCGTAGGTTTTTGAAGGGTGTTGGAACCATTGAACCGCATTCTATGCCAGAGTCAACGAGCAAACTAAAGCGTGCAACTGTTTTGCCAGGGCGCATATTTGGAGCGCACAAGCGCGTTGACCAGTTCCAGAACTTCATCGTATCAGCAGAAAACGGAGGCTGATAATGAAAAAGGAGGGAGTTTGTAAATGCGCAAACTATCCATGAATGATCAAGTCAACGGGTAATTGAAGAAATGATGAATCTAACCGGATAGGGCGCAATGCGAACAGTGCCGAAGTGATTCGTAGAAGTATACGCGATGCGCGACTGCATGCAGGCATTGTACAATAGCCTGGACTGTTGAACAAATAGCAACTTGCTTTGTCATTGTACGTTGAACATCCTGTCTGGCACATCCCAATGATGGCCCGCCCTGGCAACATACTTGGAACGTCGCTCATCCTTACTATCCGTGTGGATTACACTAGAACGCGCTTTGGCGTCGGGGATGTGCTGACCCAGGTCAATCCAGACCCAGGTCAGTCAGACCTTGCAGAATCCTGCAACATCCTGCAAGATGCTGCACCCAAACCCGGGTCCATGCGAAGAATCCTGCAAAATCCCGCAGCATCCTGCACCCAAACCCGGGTCAATGCGACCCTGGCCCTGCAGGATCCTGCAAGATCGGGCGCCCTGGCTGACCCCCGCTTGCATTGACCCCCGTCTCTTGAGCCCCGAACGCGAGGTGATTCGCCGTTCTCGGCCCCTTGTGGGCCCTCGCGCGGGCCCCGGGGCCATCCAAAAGAAAGCTCGAGATGAAAACCTGGTCCTTCGGCGGTGGACAAACCTCCCTTTCGTAAACCTCCCTTTGCAGTGAACCCCGTCTGGAGGCTCCCGATGGCGGCCCTGCCAGGCAGATCCGGCCGCTTCGCCACTGCCCGTGGGCGAGGCAAGGGCCGGCCGCCCCCCCCGGCGGTGCCCCGGCCGGGCGAGGCCCCGTGGGCCTGCTTCTCCAAGAACCTCGGGCGCCAGGGGGGGGGGGGGGCACGGCGGTGACGCGCCGCGCTCCCCTCTCCACGTCCCCCTCGGCGTCCCCCTCGGCGTCCCCCTCGGCCTCCTCCTCCTCCTCCTCCTCCTGCTCCTCCTCCTCCCCCTGCCCCTCCTCGCGCCTCCTCGCGCAGCTTCGTGCTCCACAAGCGCGGCCTCGTCCTCTTTCTCCTCCTCGCGCCGCTTCGCTCTCCCTCTCCTCTTCCTCCTCCTCCTCCTCCTCTTCCTCCTCTTCCTCCTCCTCCACCTCCTCCTCCTCCTCATCATCATCATCACGCCTTCTCCTCCCCTTTCTTCCGCTCACCTCCCTCGCCCTTCCGCGCTCACCCGGTCCGCGCCATTCAGCTCATCCAGACGACGGCGAGGAACTTGCATTCACGCAAGCTCGTGTCGCGACGTCGGCGTTGGTTTCTGACACCGCGCGGACGGGTCGGCCATGACCCATCGCGGCCATCCGATATCACAAATCGGTCCGTGTCGGCCGAATCCGGGCCACTGACGGCCTTCAACCTATCGAACGCCCGAGCTGGGGTCGCCACGTCAACGCGGCGCGAGCCTGTCTGTCGCACTTCCCCTGCAGACCTGGCCCTCGCGCAACAACGAACAAACATTTGATGATATTTTGTTCCACGCTCCCTGTCTGGAGGCCGCTCCCAAGGCCCAGACCATGAAAAACTGCTGCGAATCATACACAACCCGCCCCTGGGGAAGTACAGCGGAGGCCAGTCCACAAGAAACCTTCCACGAGAAACCCAACCCTGCGACACCGGGACGCCCATGGATTTCTGGTGTGGGAGCGTCACGCTCTCCATCGCAAAACCATCGAAACCCAAGAAACCCAGGGCACCCTGGAGGCAAACAGGGGGACCGACGTCCTTGTTGAGATGCAACGTCGGAGGAGAGGGTACTTCTTCAGTATGAAAGGCAAATATTGGGCGCCCCCAAACCAAGTGGTGAGAGATCAGAATGGTGAACTGGAATCCCCCCAAATCCACCGCCGGGTTTGGGGACACGGGGTCACTGCCGGGTTTTGTGACTCCTGGGCCGCACGCGAGTCCCCAGGCCCAGACTGCCCAACAGCTTCGAAGTATACAGAAACCAGGCCCGGGGGAAGTAGTCGAAGCCCCAGGCACCGACGCCATGGTTAAGATGCAACGTCAGAGGAGAGGGTACCCATCGGTCGGAAGAAGTAGGCAGAGACACGAAGTAGGAAGGCGCTGAAAATAGATTGGGCTTCCGCCCGCCTTCTGCGCAAACGAGAACGGAAAAGGCGAAGCCACTCGATCATTGAGGTGGGAAGGCGCCGAAAACGGCCTGGAACCTTGGACGCCCGACTTATCCGGGGTAACTCGGGTCCGGGGTAACTCGGGTTTGGGTTCCCGAAAAACAAACCCGAGTTAACCCTGACCCGAGTTACCCCTGATGATTCGGGGCTCTGGACGCCCGAAATATCCGGGGTAACTCGGGTCCGGGATAACTCGGGTTCGGAATCCCGAAAAGCGAACCCGAGTTAGCCCTGACCCGAGTTACCCCTGATGATTCGGGGCTCTGAGAACCTGCTTTCGACGACCGATGGGCACCTCTTCCGCAGCACAGGCAACGCGCCGAGAGGAGCGGCGAGCCCCGGCACGTGTCCGCCGCCCTCGGGCCCCCACGGGGCCCCTCACGGGCGCCGAGGCCCTCCGTCGGCGGCGCGCCCGCGGGGGCGGGGGAAGGCGAGGAGGAGAGAAGGCCCTCTCAGAAGGCGGCGGGGCTGCTCAGAAGCCCTCCGAGCCTTCCGAGAGGGCCCGCCCCCGTTCGCCCCCCCCCCCTCCCCCCTCCCCCCATCGGCTCGACGCTCCGCGCGGATTTCTTGGATCTGCGCTGGAACCCCCCTCCCTGGCGCGCGGAGCGCGCCAGGGGCGACGCCGGAGGCACCGCCAGGGGGCCCCAGCGCGGATCCAAGACATCCGCGCGGAGCGCCAACAACTTTGTATTTATGTAGTGTTTTCTTTCTTCGACCCCAGGCTCGGCGCCGAGCCAGAAAACGACCCGGAGTGGAGAAGTGGTCCTGGGGACAAGCACGGGGCCCAGGATCCGTTCCCCCCAGGACCCTGCGCCCAATCTCGAGGCAAAGCACCGCTCCACGGCTGGCTCTTGCCGTCGGCGTGGACCTTGGTTTCTGACATCGCGCAGTCCAGTACTGTTGGCGGCGTGGACATTGGGGTGGGAGCAGGGGGGAGGCTTCCCTCAGAAGGAGGCCGCTCCTCACAAGGCGCCGGCCCTGCACCTCGGGGCAAGGCCCGCGCCTTCTGAGACGCAGGGGTACTTCCAAGGAACCTTCCCCCCTCCATGGCCTCCCCCATACCCCCTGTGTGCGCGCGGCCGGAATGGAGCGGTCGCCGCTGCCCGGCAGCGGAGATCCTTCCAGGCTGGCCTGCCCTATCCTTCGCCTGGGGCATCACGCCTCACCTCAGGGATCGCCCTAGAGACAATGTTTCTCTCGTTCCTCGTTGTCTTCGTACTCCCTCGCTTGGTCTTGAAATCCCTATCCTTCGCCTGGGGCATCACGCCTCACCTCAGGGATCGCCCTAGAGACAATGTTTCTCTCGTTCCTCGTTGTCTTCGTACTCCCTCGCTTGGTCTTGAAATCCCTATCCTTCGCCTGGGGCATCACGCCTCACCTCAGGGATCGCCCTAGAGACAATGTCTCTCTCGTTCCTCGTTGTCTTCGTACTCCCTCGCTTGGTCTTGAAATCCGCCTCTGCTGCGGCGCGAGCGCCTCGAAGCGAGAACGGCCCACGGGATCGCCCAGGCACCGTTGAGAGGCCGGCCCCTGCCTCGCCGCGCTCCATGCGCGAGGGAGGCGGCCTCGGCGCGTGGGGGCCAGAAACCATGTGGCGAGCCTGCTCCTCTTCTTCCTGCTCCTCCTCCTCCTCCTCCTCCTCCTCCTCCTCCTCCTCCTCCTCCTCCTCCTCCTCCCCTTCTTGGACGTCCCCGACGACAAGTCCACAAGGAACAGGTCGCAAAGAGCCCGACCTGGGCCAGGGCTGGGCTTCTCGCTCACGGGCTGCCAGCGAAGATGCTCAGGATGCCCTGGGCCTGGTGGTTGATCCATGGCTCGCGCAGAACATCTCAGCGTCAGGACAGTTAGGGGGCCCTGCAAGCTGCGGTCTCTTCGCGACCAATGCAAGCCTTCAGTCCGAACGCAAACTAAAGAAACCCAGGGTACCCTGGAGACCAATGTTTGATTTGCGATAAAGCCCGTCAGCGGTCCTCCCCCCCTCCCCGCTGGTCACGTCACGATTCGCGCCAGCGCCATCTTGGAACCAACCGATCATTCCCAAGCCTTCCTAGATGGAGCCGCCGCCACTGTCATGCTACCACTACTGCTCACCCTCCCCATGTTCCCCACAGATAGTCGCACCTATGAAAAAAACACCTTTCGGGTTGCAAGCAATTTCGAGGGCTCCGGGTGGAATAATCGTTGCGCGATGGCCTCGCATTGGATTGGGAATGATTCTAGGCAACTGCCTATCCGACCTCATACACGTTTTTCGGGTATAAAGTCACGGTCCACTTCTCGATGCCAACCGATGCCAACGTGACGACGTTAAATACTTCCATGTGCTATTGCGAAATCTGATATGCCTGCCTTGGATGGACTCACTACGTGCCTATCGCCGTATCTGTGGAGATCTCCACATGCGTATACCCATGTGTATACGCACAGCTAACAAGTGTCTACGCGTAGCGAAACGAATAGACATCAGTACATTCATCTGTATGCATACATCTCGGGGGCGGCCAAGATGGGGGGGGGGGGGGGGGCACAAATCATAGCTGGCGGCATGTGCGCGGCCTAGGGGGGAGGCCAGGGACGAAATACAATAAGAAGAGGCGCCATGAAATCTGGGGAGATATCATGACCTCCGCCATGATATCCCCCCCCCTAGTCATCACCCTCCTCTTGGCCGCCCCCGATGATATTTGCCAATCGAGCCCCAAGGGGTGCCCAAGAAGGCCCCAAACACGACTCCAAGAGCGCCACCAGAGGTAAAAGGAGCTCTGCCAGGAGGGGATCGTCATAAACGCGGCCCCTTTCTGATCGATGGCCTCCCAGATGGACCAGAAGGCCTCCACGATGGCCACAACAAGAAGGCCCAAAATATCGGGCCGGGCGAAGGGGGGAGATAGCAAAAGGGGGGGTTGAGAATCAGCTCGCGCAGCTGATTCTCCCGGCGCCTCCCGGCGCCGGGAGGCGCCCATGTATCGAGGAATGGGCCCCTCAGTCGGGCCGAAACCAGCTGCATGCAGCAAATTTCGTAACCCCCCCTTTCCCAATCCCCCCTTTCGTTCGGCCCGAACCAAGAAGGCCCCAAATCGCTCCGCGCGCGCGAATTCCCCATCCCCCCCTTTTCGTCCGGCCCGAAAATAGCTCCGAGACGCGAATTCTCGGACCAATCCTTGCACCTCGGGTCCCCCTCTCGTTCCTCCTTCTTCCTCCTTGATCGATGGCCTCCCAGGATGGACCAGGAGGCCTCCCTGAGGGCCACAACGAGAAGGCCCCCGAATCGCTCCGGGAACAGCTGCGCGCGAGCTCTCGGACCAGCCCCTGCACCTCGGGCCCCCCTCTTGTCTCCTGAGCACCTCGCCCAGTGGCCGCTCTCTCTCGCTCTCTCTGTCACGAGCGGCCGGGCGGGAGAGAACGAGAGAGAGAGAGAGAGCAATCGAGAGAGAGAGCGCGAGCAATCGAGAGAGAGAGAGAGAGCAATCGAGAGAGAGAGAGAGCGAGAGCAATCGAGAGAGAGCGAGAGCAATCGAGAGAGAACGAGAGAGAGAGAGAGATGTACCAAACGGCGCGGGCCTGGAACTCCGACTGTCCCAGACATCCTCGCGGCGTCACAAAACGCCACCTTCGAGCGTTGGCCACTTTCGCCCTCACTGGACACCAAGACCGTCACAAACGACTCAGGACGGAGAGCCAGTCCCCGGGAAGGGTCCAAACCTTTGGGGACCCGCCTTGCGAACAAAATCACGACGCGGACCTCAGCTCCTACCCATGCTGATGATTCCGACTTCACAAAACTCCCCGCCTCCTCCCTCTTGCAGTCTTACTCGCCCCAGTCATGCTCCCCCCCATCACCTCAAATCCCTTACCGTTCTCCCCCCCACTCGTCATGTTTACTCGCTTCTTCTAATTCTTCTGTATCGATCTTCTACTCCTCCTCGTAATTCATCGCACCCTCGCTCTTATCATCATCCTCTTTCTCCCTCTCGTCTGCGTGCGTATCGACCACGTCAACCTACCATGCTGCAAGTCATCACTATCCTGTTCATCCTCCTGCTACTCATGCCCGCCCATACGTTCCATTCTCATCATAAGCACATGATTGACGCTGCGCGTCTGCACGGGCTTGAGTTGTGCAAGTATTTTGGCCGCCCTTGCAATTATATTTGCTTGTATGGTTCATTATCGTGGACGTGCAATCTGACTGTGAATAATCGGACGCTACGCGGCCAGCGTTTGTACAATACAGACGATACGCGTCGCACTCGGGTGCAGGTGTCTGCCATGGCAGCCGTCTTGAGACCAATGGCGTAGGCGCTCGAAAGCCTGCGTCCGTAGTCAGTCCACAACAAATGAGCAACCATCTTTCAAAAAGCAGAAACAAAAACATAAGCATCAACGGTCGACGGTCCGCGCGGATTTCTTGGATCTGCGCTGGACCCCTCTCCCAAGCGCGCCAGGGGCGGCACCGAAGGAATGTCCGGCACCGGAGAAATGTCCGCGGCATCGGGGCGCCCCAGATCCAAAAAGTCCGCGCGAAATGTTGAAGTGTATCATTCGATTTCGTCCGCGCGAATTTGAGCAGCTCTTCCGTCTTCGATTCTCATCAACCATCATCCCTGATCATGGTCGTCCGTCTTTGTCAGGCGTGCTGGACCACAAGCCGCCCACCGACCTCATCCCTCCTCCCCCCCTCTTCCTCCTCCTCCTCCCCTCCTCCTCCTCCTCCTTCTCCTCCTCCTCCTCCTCCTCCTCCTCCTCGTCCTCCTCCTCCTCCTCTGGTTCCTCCTCCTCCTCCTGTCAGGCGTGCTGGACCAAGGCCGCCCACCGACCTCATCCCTCCTTACCCCACCTCCGAGGCTGCACGGCTCGCCCACCACGGCCTCCGGAGGCCCCTGGGAAGCCCAGGAGCACCCCAGAGCCCCACCACCTCCTGCTCCTCCTGATCCACCTCTTCCCTCCGCCTCCCCTCCTCCTCCTCCTCGTCCTCCTCCTCATCCTCCCTCCTCTCCTCCCCTCCTCCTCATCCTTCATCATTTCCTCCTCCTCCTCCTCCTCCTCCTCCTCCTCCTCCTCCTTCCCTTCCCTCCTCCTACCAGCCGGGGGGAGGAACTCGACCAGCCCCTGCAAGTACTTCGCGGCGTAGATCTGCAGTTTGGAACCCATGGGCAGCTGCATCACCTCGGCACCACCAGTGTCCAGGCGCAGAGCCGGGATGTATCCAGGACGGTCACCCCCCCATCGCCCACCAGACTTCCGACGTCGCGTTTTTTTGCAGCAGGGCTCGCCAAACCATTCCTGGGAGCCAACGTTTCATACCGCGTCGTTTTTTGAAGGAACCGGGGTCTTGCAGGGTCCCCCGGAAGCCGAAAATTGCCAACGCGAATGACCCGCCGTGCTTCCTTCACGACGCGAGGAAATCCATGCAGTGCCCTCTGTCACGGCAGCGCATGTCCGTCTCCCCCCCCTGTCGTCCTCTCTCTGGAGGGCACGCAATATCTCAGCCTGGCCCTCCTCCAGGGGGGGGGATGGGGCAAGGCCACAACTGCCACGGGGGCTCCTCAAACAAACCTGGTGCTCTGCCTTCGGCGTCAGACCCGCCGGGACAGAAGGACGACCACACTGCGCGAAGCAGAACGCTCCGGCATTCCGAGGGCGGCGCTGGACCCAGGTTGAAGGAAGGCGGCCCTGCAGGAATAAGGGTCGTGGATTTCTGTTGCCTGCTTCGACGTCCCAGGCCCCACGGGCCTCAAGGATCGGGCGTTGGCAGAACTGGGTTTAGTGGAACCTGCTCTAGTGATGTGTACAGGGGGAGGCCCCACACGCCCCGTTCCACTGACCGGAACTGCCGTCACCCGAAAAACACCAACTACGGCAGAGCTGGTTTGGTGATTCTGGCCAATTCAGGGGCCCCGGGGCCCTACCACTGACCGGGTCCCCTCACCTGGGGTCCTGGCTATACCCGGAAAAGTCAGGACGGGAGGTGTTTGGCCGTTTCCGGCCCCTCGTGGGTCCTCGCCCGGGCCCCCGGGGCCATCCACAAAAACAGCTCGAGCTGAGAAGCTGGTCCTTTGGAACGGGTTGGGGCGTCTGGGTCCCCTCACCTGGGGTCCTGGCTATGCCCGAAAGGAGCCAGGACGAGCCCCAGGGCCGACCCAGCAACGACAGGGGCTGGTCCTGGGAAGACTCTGCGGGTCCAGGGCCCGCTTCCCTCGGGTCTCCTTTCCTCCATGTCGATCTCCCCTGTCGGCGTCGGCGGCGGCACCCCGTATATTTCAATATTTACACGTCGGTCGGAAGAAGTAGGTCGAAAAATGAAGTAGGAAGGCGGATATAGTAGATTGGGTCCAGGCCCTCCCAGAGAATAACAAAACACAGCCAAAGCATGTCGACTCTTGAAGTAGATTGGGATCTGGGAATCCAAAAATACCTACTTTCAACGACCGGCGTGTATTGATTTTCTCATTCCCCTCCGTTGCCCAAATGTCCACATTTTTCCTGGAAGGGCACGTTGATATGTGTGTGTGTGTGTGTGTCTGTGTGTGTCTGTGCCGACTTTTCTTCCTGACAGGCGCCGATCTGGAGAGCGCACACGACAAGCGCAGGGACCGACTGGCCGCAAAGAGAAGACCACATCACAGGACGTCACGCAGGGCACTCCTGGCAATGACGGACGCCATATGGCGGGCCCCACGCGGACCTGCAGCAGGGCCTCTCCCGGCGGCGACACGACAATGAAGCCGAAACCGAAACCGACAATAAAGCCGAAACCGACCACGAAGCAGGCAGGCCGCAAGCAGCCTCGAAGGGCGCAAGCGGCACAGAAAACAGGCGACCGAACCGAACCGACCGAGCGCAACTGACTGCGACGCAGCCGAACCCACCGAACCGCGAGCACTCCTTGGGACCCCCCCGCGAGACGTGGCGCGCGGAGCGCGCCATGGGGCGGCGCCTCCGCGTGGATCCAAGAGATCCGCGAGGGGAACGCCGCAAGTGTGTGCTGCTGCCACTGCGGGTTCCCCGTTGGAACGGCCCACGCCAAACATCGCCCTCGCTCGGCCGTCCCTTCCCCGTGCATTTGTTGTTCGATGTCGCGCGCGCGTATCCTTAGCACGCAAGGTGATCCAGGATGTTCCTCGAGGGTCCTCGCCCCCCTAAGCAATGCACACGCCCGAGCGACTTAGGCGCGAATGGGTGGGGCGATAGATGGGGGGCGGGAAGGAAGGTGCCCTCTTGGGGGCCCCAAAGGGCCCCTTCTCCGGGCCCTAAAGGGCCCCTGCAGGGGCCCCAGAGGGTCCCTTTCTGCAGTCCTCGCTGCCACCCGTTTCTCGCCCCCCAATGATAGATGCCTCCTGGATGGGGTCCGAGTTGATGGGGTCGGAGGATCGCGCCGCATCGCCACTGCATCGGCGATAGATGGCCGATGCATCAGCGACGTATCGGCGACGTCGGCGATGCATTGGCGACGCCGGCGTGCAGAACATCGGGCTCCACATCGAGCCGCATCGCCGATGCATCGGCGATGCGGCGCGGTCCTCCGACCCCATCTGCTCGGACCCCATCCAGGAGGCCTAGACATCACGCGGCCTCCAAAGCGATGCCAAGCCACATGCCCGGGGCGGGGCGGCCAGGGCCTCCCCCTGGGAGCCCGCTCGCCTTTGTTGCGCCGACGAGAAGGGGCGGGACTTGCGCCGAAGTTGCGCGAGATGACTTGCGCGAGATGACTTGCGCGAGATGACTTGGACGCGGGCCGCCAGCGCGGCACGCCACACTGGAAGCGAGGGCGCTTACGCGCGATCTTACGCGGGAAGCTTACGCCTAGGTCGGGCTCACGCGGATTCTGGAAGAAAAATAGAAAATAACCAACACATATACAAACATACTCAAAACATAATCCCCAAACTAATTCTGAACTGATTTTGAACATTCCTCCTGTAGAGGGACATGCTCGACTTCAGCTCACGCGCCAAGGTCGGTGCAGTCGACCCCATTTTTCTGTGTCGCTCCCACGGCACGGGGCTGGAGCGGCACGGGATCCGCAGGAGCGCGCACCCTAACCGCCAGAGCACTCTGGGGCGACGACGACGACGATGACGCATTGCGAACGCCCATGGGGGGGTGGCGCTCTGGCGACGCGGGGACGGATCGGGCGCTGGAACGCGCATAACCCTGACATCCTCGCGTCGTGAACAACAACATCACGGACAGCTGTTCGCCATGGTCGCCCTTCGGGGGCCCGGGCACTGGGGAAGGGGTCTGGACCTCTGGGGGGCCATGTCTGAGGACATCGTTGGGACGGCCGTCGTGATGCAGCTTCCTTTGGGCTGCCCTCGGCACTGCCTGTCATCAAGCGATCGAGCCTCCCGGCTTCTCCGCGTTCCGGCGGCACGTCCGTCTGCCCATGGAACCTACTCCAAGACGGAGGCCTCGCTCTGCCGCGCTCCGCAAAGGGATTCTGCGATCAGAGACGTGCTCCATTGAGACTTCGAAGTCTTATGAGGAGCCTGGGAACCATCTGGGGCAACGTCCTCCACACCCGCCAGCAGTCAAAGAGCGGCAACCCGTCACCGCTGCGGAAGGAAGCCTGTCTGCCCGCACACCTGTTCCTCGCGCGCACAGGTGACGGCAGTCTGCAGGTTGCGACGTAAGAGGGCGAGTTGCGCTCAAAGTGAATCCCACCAGCCCACTAAGCTGAGGTGGTCGAAGGTGCTTCGTCTTACAACCCCTCTTCCCTTTTGGAAAAGGATGGCTCAAACATGGCTTGATAATGCCCCAGATGACCTCCAAGATAGCCCACGACATTCACATAGTTCTTGCTCAGGATTGCCAACGATGCCTCCAAGAGGCCCCAGGACCCCACCAAGACGGCACGGCTCCAAGTAGCCACAGAGCCTCCCAAGGACGCCACCGAGAGACAGAATTCCTCCCAACACCTAAGTCAAGATTGCGCCAAGATGGCCCAACAGAGCCCACGGATTGCGGGGACGCCTCTGCGGGACACTGCGCTCCCAGGGCCCTCATCCAGAGACGTGGCGATCACCAGGAAATCATCAACCGCCAGCATCGGCGATGCGTCGCTCATTGGAGAAGCCATTAACACCATACACACAATTTCTCTCGGAGGTCACCGCAAATTTCATGGACCAACGCTGGGAGCCTCTTCCTGGCGCGCGGAGCGTGCCAGGGGCGGCCTTGCTGCAGGCAGCTGGATATGGACAGGTCCCGCGCAGTGGGGCCGCGTAATCACTCATTGGAGCGCCTCCACGAAGAAGCGAGCCTCTCACCAATAACATCCTCTTCCGCTGCGCATCTTGAAGCCTGCACGGATTCCCCAATCAAAAAAAGATACCAGCACAGACCCCAGGACACCTATCCGGGGCTTCTTCGCAGAGGGAGGAGAGGATCACGAGGAAGCGAACAAGGGAACAGTGCCACTGAATCAGGGATGGTCGGGCGGGAGACCGATAATGATACTCCCGGATTCCCAAGCGAATCCAGCAGTGGCGACGAGGGCCCCCCAAGAGACCAAGAGATGAAAACGCCGGAGGGATATTCATCTGTACCGGCTTCTCTTCCTCCTCTGATCATGGGGAGACCCAAAGGTACACCCATACCGCCACTACCCGGACCTCTCCTGGGGTGAGTTCCAACCAGGCGACTCCAGCGGTGGCGACGAGGGCCTCCCAGGAGGCCGACGAGGGGAAAAAGAGAAAAGAGTAGAGGTATCGGTACGTACCGGATCCTCCTCTGAGATCACGGGAGGAACTGCCACTGAATCACCGACGGGGGAGTGCAGAGGCAGAAAGCGTTAGGTCAGGCATGTCCCCCTACAGGCGGCTTTCGGACGAAGACTACAAAATACGTAGCACCCCGGAGATGCGGATAAGAGTGAGGGGGCGGTGGGGACGTCGGCAGTTTGCGAGACTCTGGAGAAGCCCGCCGCAGGCGCCAAAGCTCCACAAATTATACAACGAGCCCGCAGCAGGCGCCGATTCTTTCGTTAAACCAATGTGGGTATGTCGCGTGTGGATCGCAAATGGGTCGCGGGTGGGTGGCGGGTAGGTAGTTGTTGGGTCGCGGGTGGGTCGCGGGTGTAGAAGGCAGAAAATCACCCCATAATAATCACCCCGACAAGCGAAGCCGTTTAGTAAACGCACACAAGGAATGAATCGAACAGGGCAAGGCTGTTCAATCAACGCCCAAGTGCCGTTTGAATAAACGTCAATTGTCGGATCCGGGAAGATTTTTCTCCCTTGAAGGTGGGTCGCGGGGTGGGTCGCGGATGGGTCGCGGGGTGGGTCGCGGCGGGTGGGTCGCGGATGGGTCGCGGATGGGTCGCCGATGGGTCGCGGGTGGGTCGCGGGGTGGGTCGTGGGTGGGTCGCCGATGGGTCGCGGGTGGGTCGCGGGGTGGGTCGTGGGTGGGTCGCCGGGTGGGTCGCGGGGTGGGTCGCGGGGTGGGTCGCGGGGTGGGTCGCTGGGTGGGTCGCGGGTGGGGTCGCTCGCGGGTGGGTCGCGGGTGGGACGACGACAACAAACAACAACAACAACAACAACAACAACAACAACAACAACAACAACAATTACTAGCACGTGGGGACACTCCGTTCTCACCAGTGCCAGGGTTTTCATAGGAGGCGGGCAATACCCCCACTTTGTGGGGGGGCCGGTTCAAGCTCTACCAAATTTCCAAACGACTCTTCGCCACCACCCACACCCAGCTTCCCGCCCTATGACGTTCGGACACTTCACTTCGTGGCATGCGGACGACCGTGGCTACTATTCAGGGCCCCGCGGCCGACGACGACGGCGTGCGCGCGCGAAGAAAAAACGAATGTGTCCCGCATGGTTTTATTTGACAGGGATGATGGCCCTGGCAGGTGCGCAACCGTTGTTGCAGAAGTTCGAAAAAGTTGCTCGCAAAAGCCCGTTTGACAGAAATATTTAAAAAGTGTTGGGTTTCCTACGAATCCGCAAGAGCGAGCGGGATGAAATTTTGACAGTTAAAAAAAAAAAAACCATTGGTTTTTTGATGTTTTTATGTTGAAATCGCTACGAAAACTAAGGTTTTGGAAGGATTTCGTCTTGCGCGCGCGAATGTCCACTTTACCTTATTTTTTGTAAGGGATTCTTGAAGTTTGGATATGTTAGAACAAGAAATGTCCACTTTAGCTTATTTTTTGCAAAGGAAAGCGGGGGACAACAAAACAACCGGATCTGGTACACATCGTTTTGCCTGAGGCTTCCTCACGAAAATGATGAACATGAGGCTGCGGCCTAGGCGCGGCGGGGGGGTCGCGCACCAGGGGTCACAACAATAATTATTCTTTAGAAGTAATAATCTTCAACAACAACAACAACAACAACAACAACAACAACAACAACCACAACCACAACCACAACCACAACAACAACAACAACAACGACAACAACAACAACAACGACAACAACAACAATAACAACAGCAGCAGCAACAGCAGCAGCAGCAGTAGCAACTACAACAACAACAACACCACCAACAACAACAACACCAAGAACAACAACAATCATTTTAAGACTGTTCGCCCTTATCTGCTCGGGTGTCCAAGAACGCCTATTTCCCAAACCCTCGATACCCGCCCTTTTCGTCTTCGATCGAACCCCTTTTGGGGGGTATACCTTTCTTCCCTGCAGGCCGGGCCCCGGCAAGCGGAGGAGCGGCCGCGGACCGTCGGCCTGGCCAGCGGCAGCGCTGATCGGCGGGGCGGCCGCGGACCGTCGACCCGACCCCAAGAGGGACGGACAGGGGACCGGCCACGACGACGACGACGTCGACGACGACGGCGACGACGACGACGACGGCGACGACGACGACGAGCGAAAGTGAGAGCGAAAGAGAACGACAGCAGGGCCACAAGGACACGAAGTAGGCCACGAAGGGCAACAGCGGGGACACGAAGGGAATGCGCATGGGGCCACGAAGAGCGCGAACGAGGGGGGGCCACGAAGGGCAGATAATGCGGGGCCACAGAAGGCAACGATAGGGCCACTGAGGGTAGCAACTGGGTCACGTAGGACAGATGCATATGGGGCCACCACGGGCGCGACCGAGCAGGGGACACGAAGGGCATACATATATGGAGCCACGAAGGGCAGTGAGGGGGCCACGAAGGGATGCAACGGGCCACGAAGGGCAGCGAGGGGGCCACGAAGGGCTGCAACGGGGCCACGAAGGGCTGCGACGGGGCCACGAAGGGCAGCGAGGGGGCCACGAAATGCCGCAACGGGGCCATGAAACAAAGCGAGGGGGCCACGAAGGACTGCAACGGGGCCACGAAGGGCAGCGAGGGCGCCACGAGGAGATGCAACGGGGCCACGAAGGGCAGCGAGGGGGCCACGAAGGGCTCCAACGGGGCCACGAAACAAAGCGAGGGGGCCACGAAGGGCTGCAACGGGGCCACGAAGGGCAGCGAGATCCCGATTCTTATATAATCTGTGAGGGAGTCCTAAGCGTGAGCGCGACTCCTGGGTGCCTGGGTGTCGAGAGCGCGGCGCTTGATTATATTGCAGGAAATTCCAACGCAAGGGCGCTATTCTTCAGTAAATTGCAGGCAAGTCTCCAGCGAGAGCGCGACTCCAGAGCGCCGGGAGAATAAATTCTAAGGAAGTCCCAGGCGAGAACGCGACTCCTTACTAAAACGCGAGGAAGTCTCGGGCGGGAGCTGGGGTCCTGGCTAAATTGTGAGGAAGTCTCAGGCGGGAACCGTTGTTGTTGTAAACTGGGGGCCAACGACACAGTTTGACGCTCAAGACTTTCCTTACCTTCCCTAATAAAAAAACAAGGTGCGAGCCCCGGGAAGGGCACTTCAATCGAAAAAAACACTGCACCGGACGGGGGGGATCAACTATAATTATTCTTCAGAAGTGAGAGTTCAACAACAATAGCTACAACAACTACAACAACAACGACGACGACGCAACAAGCAGAATTCTCACCACGAAATCCTTATTCAGCCGCGCACCCAGGGACAATGAATGATCGTTCGCCCCCCTCACTCTGACTCAAAAAGATTCACAAAAATCTAAAAAAACGTAGCACCCCGCAGATGCGGATAGGAGTGAGGGGGCGGTGGGGACGTCGGCAGTTTGCGAGACTCTGGAGAAGCCCGCCGCAGGCGCCGAAGCTTCACAATTGAAACCAATGTGGGTAGGTCGCGGGTGGGTCGCGGGTGTGGAGGGCAGAAAATCACTCCCATAATAATCACCCCGACAAGCGAGGCCATGTAGTAAACGCACACAAGGAATGAATCGAACAAGGCAAGGCTGTCTAGTCAAGGCCCAAGGCCGTTTGAATAAACGGGGTGGTCTTTTCTCCCTTGAAGGTGGGTCGCGGGGTGGGTCGCGGATGGGTCGCGGGTGGGTCGCGGGTGGGTCGCGGATGGGTCGCGGATGGGTCGCGGGGTGGTCGCGGGTGGGTCGCGGGGTGCGGTGGGTCGCGGACAGGTCGCGGGTGGGTCGCGGGGTGGGTCGCCGGGTGGGTCGCGGGGTGGTCCGCGGGTGGGTCGCGGGTGGGTCGCGGGGGTGGGACGACGACAAACCAACACACAACACAACAACACACAACAACCAACAACAACAACACAACAACAGCAACAACAAACAACAACAACAACAACAACAACAACAACAACAACAACAACAACAACAACAACAACAACAACAACAACAACAACAACAACAACAACAACAACAACAACAACAACAACAACAACAACAACAACAGCAACAGCAACAGCAACAACAACAACAGCAACAACAACAGCAACAGCAACAGCAACAGCAACAGCAACAGCAACAGCAACAGCAACAGCAACAACACCATCATCAACAACAACAACAACAACGACGCCGCCGACGACGACGATGACGAAGACGACAACGACGACGACAACAACAATATCAACAACGCAACAAGCAGAATTCTCACCACAAATTCCTTATTCGGCCACGCACTCAGGGACAATGAATGACCGTTCGGCCCCCTTATTCTGACAATAAGATCGTCCCAATACTATTTTTCTCTAATTTTGAATTTTCCTCCTTTAGAGGGAAGTGCCCGACTGAAAGAGAGCGAGAAGCGGAGCCTGCGGGCAAGCCGGTCGCAGGATGCGGGGCCGCCAGGGTTCCCTGCAGCCGGCGCTCCATCCCGAGCAGCTTGCTGAGGCCCCGGGGCCCGTGGAAGGACCCCTGGGGCACCGAACGCGGCGAGACACTGCAAGGAGATCCCCCTTGCCCTCCAGGACCCACCTCTCCTTCACACCATACAGGCAGGCTGTCGGGGAGCTGATGCTGATGCTGATGATGACGACGACGATGATGACGAGGAGGAGGAGAAGGAGGAGGAGGAGGAGGAGGTGAAGGAGCTGCTGTGGATGGCCTTGTTCTCGCTGATGATCTTCAGCTCGTCCCGGAGCCTGTCGGGGTTGAGCGGGTCCTGAGCCCGGGTGCGTCGAGAGGTCCCTCCAGCCTTGCTGGCAAGAGGGGGGTCCAAGGCCCCCATTGCACGATCCCTCCTCCCCCTCCTCCTCTTCCTCCTCCTCCGCTTTCTCTGGTGCTGCCTGTTCCCATTGCCCCGAGTGCACCCCTCTAGACCTCATCCCAGACGCCGATGCAACGCGCCAATCCACCAACTCCAAATCCTACTCCTGCTCCCTCTTCTCTTCCTCCTCCTCCTCCTCCTCCTCCTCCTCGCCCAAAGAAAAAACAGAAGCTCCGGGAGACGTGTCATGGCTCGCCCTGCTCGCAAGAAGCGGGCCGGGACTCCCGAAAGGGGGGTGCACGATGACACCTTCCGCTGCGGACCCCTGAAGAGTGGGGCTGAAGCAGTCAGCGACGAATCGGGAAACCGGGTCGAATCGAAATGTTCGTCGGGTCGGGCCGCATCGACACGGAGTCGAAATCGAATCGGATCAGCTGTGCCAAGATGCACAACAACGCCATGCGAACATCGAGCCGTATCGGATCGCCTGAATATCGGAATCGAATCGGATCGGGCTGGCTGGAATCGATCTCTAATCGGATCGACTGAATTCAACTAGATCCTATGGGAAGAGAGCCTAGACCTCCATCGTCTTGAAACAACATTGTCAGACTCAGAGCCGTCTGGTGACAGACTGTGCGATGACCTTGAGAAAGCCCTAGGGACCTCACCGCGCGGTCCATCACCGCCCGTTTTGTGGGCTTTGGGTGCCCCCGACGCCCGATGCAGTGTCGGACTAAGGAAGGTGAGTCAAACTTCTTTCTGACGCGCGTGCAACACTTTCCCTTTGCCAGGCGGCAACCACTACCTCCTGCACGTCCTGCTTATCCTCCTCCTCCTCCTCCTCCTCCTCCTCCTCCTCTTCCTCCTCCTCCTCCTCCTCCTCCTCCGCCTCCTCCTCCTCCTCCTACTCTCTCATCCCATCTCTCCGACTCTTGCTCCAACGCCGGATCCCATCTCTCCGACTCCCGTTCCGACCCAGGCTCACATCCTTCGGACCCCGGCTTCGACTCCGGCTTCCAGTTTTCCGACCCTTCTTATCTCTCCGACTCTGGCTCCAACCCTGGACCTCTCCGACTCCCGCTCCGACTCCAGCTCACAAGTTTCTGACTATCCCATCCCATCTTTCCGACTCCGGCTCCAACGCCAGATCCCATCTCTCCGACTCCCGTTCCGACCCCGGCTCACATCCTTCCGACCCTCGCTCCGACTCCAGCCCCCAGTTTTCCGACTCCAACTCCCATCCTATCTCATTTCTCTGACTCCGGCTCCACTCCTGGATCCCATCTCTCCGACTCTGGCTCCGACTCCAGCTCCTAAATTTGCGACTGGCATGTAACCATACGAGTGTGAAGCATCAACGACGGCATCACCATCCACGACACGCACACACAACGACTCCGACAACAAGGATGCCTCTCCCTCCTCCTTCCCTCCCCCCTGATGCACCTAATTTTTAGTGTGTCTCGAATGCATGCTGTACCGTACACCACAATCTCTTGGCGCCACGGCGCCACCGCTCCGTTTGCAGAGGGACCGCGCCCCGGCGCGCACGCGAGCGTCCGCCCGTCCGTCCGTCCGTCCTCTTCTTGCTCCTCCTCCTCATCCCCACCCTCCTTCTCCTCCTCCTGCTCTTCGTCCTCCTTCCGACTTATTCCTCCTTCCTCGTCATCATATCCCTGCCTCCACATTCCTTTTCCCCATCGTCATCTCTCTCCTGCAGGGCGGCGCCTGCGCACGTGTGAAGAATCAGACGCGACCAAAAGGAATTCCCCCTCGCGGGCGCCGTGAACACGTAACAAGACGTGCCCCGTGCGCATGCGCCAGGCGCATGTTGCCCTTTTCGTTCCGCGCAAGTATTTCCCCATGTGAAGAACCCGAAGCGCCCAAGTTAGTTCCCCACCTGGCGGCCGTGGACACGCAGAAGTATATGCCCCGCGCGCGCTTGGGGCATGTTGGCCGCCCCTCCGCGCACGCTGTTTCGTCGGCGGGGAGGCAGACTTGGCTGCACCAGCGATAGGGCTAAACGGGGGCACTGAAAAGTCACTTGGCCAGCGTGCGGGAGCGGGAAGAGGGGATCAAGGGACGGCCGCGGAGGAGGGCCCCCCGCGCACGCACTTGCATGTACAGAAAAAATCGGCTGGTTCAAATAAGGTCCCACCCCTGGGGGCCGTGGAGAGGTGAAAACACGTGCCACGCGCGGGCACGCCAGGCGCATGTTCGCCCCCCCGCTCACAGATCTCCACGAATGACGAATCTGGCGAATCCAAAATGGGTCCCCACCGTGTGGTACCGTGGGCACGTCAACTATGTGCCCCGCGCGCACGCACCAGGCACATGTTGGGTATCCCTCCCCCCCAAGATGGGTTCCCCCCTGGAGGCCGTGGGCAGGTGGAAACACGTGCCCCGCGCGAACGCGCCAGGCGCATGTTGGGTCCACCCCCTCCGCGCATCTATTTCCACACGTAAAACAAACCAAAGCGCCCAAATTGGCTCCCCACCTGGCGGCCGTGGGCATGGAAAAGTACATGCCCAACGCGCACGCGCCAGGCGCATGTGGGGCCCCACCCCCTTCCGCGCACTTGGTTACACATGATACCAGAGAAAAAAAAACAATCATAATCTTTTTAGGGCTGTAGGGCTATAGGGCTACAGGGCTATATGGGCTCTGTATGGGCTATATGGCTATATGGCTATATGGGTTCTAGGGCTATAGGGCTATAAGGCTATAGGGCGATAGGGATATAGGGCTGTAAGGCTATAGGACTACAAGGCACAGGGCACACGGGCACCCGGCACCCGGCACCCGGGCACCCACCCGGGCAGCGGGCACCCGGCCGTCACCCGGGCACCCGGGCACCCGGGCATCCGGGCACCTAGCTGGGCCCGGCCACCGAATCGGCAGCGAACCCGGGCACCCGGACACCCAGGCACCCGGGCACCCAGGCCCGGCCACCGAATCGGCGGCGAACCCAGGCACCCGGGCACCCGGGCACCCGGGCCCGGCTACCGAATCGGCGGCGTCCTTAAATCCGCTAGGACCCCTATACAGAGGCAAGCTCTGATTGAGGAATGTAAAGAGTCCGGCCCCCTCAAGCTGGGTCCCCCATGGTGGCCCTGGACACGTGGAACTCAATGCCCCGCTCGCACGCGCCAGACGCAGGTTGGGCCCCTCCATGCCCATATTGGATCCCCCCCTGGGGGCCGTGGGCGCGTGAGAGCAAGTGCCCAGCGCGCATGCGCCAGAAGCATGTTGGGTCCCCCCCTCCCCCGCGCACGCGCAAACCGCATGTTGGGCCCCCCCTCCGCGCACGCACCGTCACGTGTAAAAAATCTGGCGGACAAAACTAGGTCCATCGCTGGGGGCCGTGGACACGTGACAATACGTGCGCATGCGCCACGCGCATGTTGGGACCCCCCTTGCGAGACGCATTTTTACGTGTGAAGAATCGGGCTGGCAACGTTGGGTCCCTCGCCTGCGGCCCCCCCGTGGCCAGAAACACGTAAAAGAAGGGCCGAACTTTCGCGTGCCGAGACGCATGTTGGAGACCCTCTCCTCCGCACACGTCAGAATGAGGGGGCCGAACGGTCATTCTCTGTCCCTGGGTGCGTGGCTGAAATGGGGTTCCGCGGTGCGGATTGTTGATGCGTTGCGAAAATGTTGTCGTCGTCCCTCTCACGACCCGGCCCTCGACCCACCCGCGACCCACCAAAAACCCATCCGCGACCCGTCCGCGACCCGCCCGCGACCCGCCCGCGACCCACCCGCGACTCACCCGCGACTCACCCGCGACCCTCCCCCGACCCACCCGCGACCCACCCGCGACCCGCCTGCGCCCGCCCCCTCACTCTTATCCGCAGCCGTGGGGCGCTGCGTATTTTTGCGCGTCGAATTCCGGCAGGCTGGATGACATCCCTGGGCTGTGGCCCCGTCGTGGCCAGAGACACGTAAAAACACATGCCGAGCGCACGCGTGCCGAGACTCATGTTGGAGACCTCCCCCTTCCGCACACGTACTCTGACGTGTCCAGGTCCTGCCCTCGGCTGTGGCCGCGTCGTGGCCAGAAACACGTAAAACACATGGCGGACGCACGCGAGCCAAGACTCATGTCGGAGACCTCTCCCCTTAGGTCGGGCATGTCCTCCTACAGGCGGATTTTGGGCGAAAAGATCTACAAAATAAACAAACATAGTCAAAACTCGTCCCCATACTATTCTGGGACTATGTATGGATATTCCTCCTGTGGGGGGCAGGCCCGACTTGATTCTCCCCTCCGCGCACGTATTTTTACTTGTCCGATTCCGACGCCTGCTGCTCGACACCCTTCTGGTGGAGGGCCGTTGGCCCGCAAACTAAAAGAGAAACCTGGGCCCGAGCGCTTACCGGGAACACTGTGGCCGTTTACATCCGAAGCCGCTTCCGGGCTCCATGGCAATCAAAGTAACGATCTGGAAAGAAAACCAGACCCTCAGGGCGGGTGGGAGGAGTACGGTGAGGAGCAGGAGGAGGAGGGGGATATAGAGGAGGAGCTCGGGGAACTTTCTCGAACAAGGTGGTCATCCTCCACTTCATCCACCTCCTCCTCCCCTTCCTCGTCTTCCTCGTTCTCTCCTTTACCCGTATTGATCGAGGGGCGACTGACTAGGGAGTTTAACTCATCCGCTCTTGATGAACTGCATTGTCTCTCTTGTCCCTTCCGCGTCCTCTTGCGTCTTCCAAGAGCGCTGCGTATGACCAGTCCCCCCGCGTCAATCAGCGACTCATCATCATCATCGTCATCATCATCAGCATCATCATCATCATCATCATCATCAGCATCATCATCATCGTCGTCGTCATCATCATCATCAGCATCAGCATCATCATCATCAGCATCATCATCATCAGCATCATCAGCATCATCAGCATCCTCATCATCATAATCATCAGCAACAGCATTATCATCATCACCGCCACCACCACCACCAGCATCATGATCCTCATCCTCATCCTCATCCTCATCAGCATCAGCATCATCACCAGCATCATCATCATCAGCATCATCAGCAGCAGCAGGATCAACAACACCAGCGCCATCGCCATCGCCATCGTCATCATCATCATCGTCATCATCAGCATCAGCATCATGATCAGCATCATCATCATCACCAGCATCACCACCATCATCACCAACACCATCACAATCACCATCACTATCACCATCACTATCATCATCACAATCGTCATCATCATCAGCAGCAGCAGCATCATCATCACCATCGTCATCATCATTATCATTATCATCATCATCATCATGATCATCATCATCATCATCATCATCATCATCAACATCATCATCATCATCATCATCATCATCATCATCATCATCATCATCATTTCCACCTACTCCAGGTCCGCGTGTCATGCTGTGATGGGGCTCGCTGTTCGTGCTGGCTGTGATGCGCAAGATTCCAGGAGCTCAGATCCGATCCGATCCTCCCTCCGGACCTCCGAAATCATGTTTTTGTTCGCAATATGGCTCCCCGAGATGGCGAATGACCATCCTCCTCCCCCCCATCCACCTACTCGTATCCTTCCTCCCGCTCATCACTACCATATTCACTATCCCACCCCTCTCTCCCTATTCGCGCTCGTCCTCATCCTCTTCCCAACGGAGATCTGCGCGGATTGGCGTTAGGTCGGGCATGTCCTCCTGCCGGCGGATTTTGGAAGAAAAATGAGATATAGTCAAAGGGACCCCAGAATGGCCAAAAATACTGAAGAAATCGTTGACCATGTTTGACTATGTTTGAACATTCCCCCTGTATAGGGACATGCCCGGCTGAAGATTGGCGGGGCCAGAGGCGCCGCCAGGGGGCCCGGCCCCGACCCGAGAACTCCGCGCGGACCTCCGACAGCGCATGTAGCTTTATGCAGTTGCTGCTCCTCGATCTCCATCTGGTATGGCCACTGGTCGTGGGAGAGGGACATTAACCGATAGATGAAGGCGCCCTCTTTCGTCTCCTGCAGGGCACACAAGCGCACAAGAGCCCGCGTAGAGAGGAGGAGGAGGAGGAGGAAGAGGAGGAGGAGGAGGAAGAAGCGGATGGGCAGTTGAGCAGGAAGACGGGGAGGATGATGACGGAGGAGGACGAGGAGGGACAGCAGCAGCAGCAGGAACACGAGCGGGAGCAAAGAAGGAGCAGGATGTTTAGCGGAAGGGTGGGGATGGGACAGGAGCCATATCAACGCGATGAGGAGGCACTCGGATCAAGGAAAAATGGCCCGCGCTGGGGCGAGATCGCCATTGTGAGCGACGGGGGCAAAGCGCCGATTCTGAAATGAGGCCCACGCTGCCGCGGGAACATCATTCTGAGACACCAGAAATAGTTCGATGTAACAAAAAACATATGCAACATAAACTTCTGCAATCCTGTGTAGAACAATACGCTGGGAGGGCAGAACATCTTCCTGACGGAGTCAGGGGGTACGGGAGAGTAGTGCTCATATGGAGTAATTCATGGGGGGATGCGAATCCAGCGGCGCGGCAGCTCCTCCCACAAGGTGTCTTGCCGCAGCCACTCCGTGATGCACCGCTGCATCACGATCTGCGTCATCCAATTCATCTCCTCGGGCGCCGCCAAAGCGCTCCGCAGGCATCCGATGTCGTGGCTTGTTCTGTCCAAATATAGGGACGATACAAAAGAGAAAGAACCGTCAAATCAGCCCCCATCGATCCTGCAATGATCTCAAGAAGGAAACTGTCAAAATCTGCCCCCTCGAGCCTGCAATGCGCTCTTCCCGGCCCCGCCCCGCCCCCATCCGACGTCGTGATTCTTGACGCCACGTGTCCCCCCCCCCGCCGGACTGGACCCCTTCCTGCCTGGGGGCCGGCTGTTCACCCCGGGCCGTTCGTCGACGGGGGTGGGACCCGGTGAGGCCCCCCCGAAGCCGAAAACGGGCAGAAACTGACCCTCGGGATCCTTGCACGACGCGGAAAGGCCAGAGCTCCAGCTCAGTTTCTTCCACTAGTCTCCCAAGGTGCCCCTATCGCGAAGGGGCCCTCGCTCGGCGCACCCGCCCAGCCGTCCTGTCCCAGGGCTCCCTCCTGCGCTCCTCCGTGCTCGCCCCCTCCTCCTCCCAGAGCCTCCTAGGCCAACTATCCTCGCGAATCGCGCTTCGCGCGAATCGCGCTTGGCGAAGGGCGAAGCGCGATTATCTTCGCGATTTCGCGCCGCCCCCCCCCACCACCCCCCCCCCTGAATAGGATGAGGGGATCGCGCCTTGCTCTGAAATCGCCCAGACTGCGCAGCGCGCAGCACGACAAACTTCGCACCCTCGTGGTGACCCTAGGCCTCTCACCCTTCCCCCGCCCATTTCCCCTCCGCTCGCCCCACGCCCCCCGCTCCCCCCCTGGTTCTGGCAGCCTCCTTCAACGCTCTTTCTGGGGACCTTTCTGAAGCCACTCGCTCCAATCATGCGTCGATGGTGCGTCGAACGGCCGTCGACGTGAGCAGAACTTGAGTCGAATTTGCGTCGAACTCGAGTCGAACTGGAACCGAACACGAGTCGATCCAAACTCGAACCAGAACCGAACAGATCCGTTAGGTGCCCCAAAGGAAGGCCAAGAAAACGAGCACGTGACCCTCCTCTTCCTCAGATGCAAATCCAGATGGAGCTCGTCAGCGCCCGAAGGTGAGCGTTTTCTTATTCGGCGTTTCGACATTGGGCGGAAGGGGGTGGAAGGGGGGGTCTGTCTCCGGGCCTCTGCGTTGTGCGACTGTTCGCAGCGGTGTCCGACGGGGGAGGGACTCCCCCTGCTCCAAACAGGCGCCACGAACAGCCGAGATCTACTCCACGGGGGGGAGGGGGGTTTGTGCGAGGGTCCGCGCCGATCGGCAAAACAATGCTTCAAAAAACGATCACAAGAATATGAAAAAACATGAACATAAACGGTTAGAATTCCGTGCGAATTTGCTGGATCTGCGCCGGAACGCACCCAGGCCGGCGCCGGAGGCGCCGCCAGGGGAGGCCCGGCGCAGATCCAAACAGTCTGCGCAGGGCTCCGCAAATTCACGTCTGTGCAATTTCGTTCGCCCTCTGATCGCCCCCTTCCGTTCAGTCGGGCATGTCCCTCCAAGGGGGGAATATTCAAAAATAAAAACAAAATTACGTTACCGAGGAACCACACATACTTATATATATATATATATATATATATATATGGCTAGAGTGATGATAGCGGAAGTGAAGCATGTGAGAATGATGTTGGTGGCCGTTGCCACCCTCTGCGCACCCCCTATGGTGTCGAGAAAGTGCCACGCCTGCTATGCCCTGGACGACGGTCGTGCATAGCGGCCGCGCTCAGGGACCACCCCCTGCGCACCCCCTATGGTGTCGAGAAAACGCCACGCCTGCTGCTATGCCCTGGACGACCGGCGCGCATAGCGGCCGCGCTCAGGGACCACCCCCGGCGCACCCCCTATGGTGTCGAGAAAACGCCACGCCTGCTATGCCCTGGACGACCGGCTCGGATAGCGGCCGCGCTCAGGGACCACCCCCGGCGCACCCCCTATGGTGTCGAGAAAGCGCCCCGCCTGCTATGCCCTGGACGACCGGCGCGCGTAGCGGCCGCGCTCAGCGACCACCTCCTGCGCACCCCCAATGGTGTCGAGAAAACGCCACGCCTGCTATGCCCTGGACGACCGGCGCGCATAGCGGCCGCGCTCAGGGACCACCCCCTGCGCACCCCCTACGGTGTCGAGGAAGTGCCACGCCTCCTATGCCCTGGACGACTTTGCGCATAGCGGCCGCGCTCAGGGACCACCCCCTGCGCGCCCCCCTGTATGGTGTCGAAAAAAATGCCACGCCTGCTACGCCCTGGACAACCGTCTCGGATAAAAAAAGAAGGAAAAAAAAAAAAAATAAACAAAAAAAGATCAAAATAGATAGATATAGAAACAAACAAAAAAACTAAGAAACAAGAAACAAAAAAGCGAACAAAAAAAATGAAATAAAAAAAATAAAAAATCTACAAAAAAGGCAAAAAAAAAATAATAAAAAGCGGCCACCAGAAAGGTCGGGGCGCTCAGGGAGACCACGGCCTGCGCCCCCCCTATGGTGTGGAGAGAGACGTGCCACGCCCCTCCACGCCCGCGACCCTGGACGAAAGCATACAGACCAGCGGTAGGGACCACCCCCCGCGCATGCGCACTACCTGTGGTGGGAAAGTGCCACGCACGCCACGCCCCGCGACCCTAGGACGGGTAGAGACCACGGTGAGGGACCACCCCCACGCACCCCCTGTGGCATCGAGAAAAAGCACCCCTGCCACGCCCCGCGACCCTGGGACGGATAGAGACCGCGGTGAGGGACCATCCCCTGCGCACCCCGTGCGGCGTGGAGAAAGTATCACGCCCGCCACGCCCCGCGACCCTGGGACGGATACAGACCGCGGTGAGGGACCACCCCCTGCGCCCCCCTTACGGTGGAGAAATTGACACCCCTGCCCCGCCCCGCGAACCCTGTGTGCGGATACAGACCGCGGTGAGGAACCACCCCCTGCGCACCCCGTGTGGCGTGAGAAATTACCACGCCCGCCACGCCCGCGACCCCCCCTTGGGGGACTGATACAATACCGCGATGAGGGACCCACCCCCCCTGCGCAACCCCGTGTATGATGCAGAATTCCACGCCCGCCCACGCCTCCGCGACCCTGGGACTGAATACATACCGCGGTGAGGACACACCGCCCTGCGCACCCCGTTGTGGCGTGGATATAGTAACCACGCCCACCACGGCCCCGCGCCCCTGTGGAACGGAATAACATACCGCGGTGAGGGACACCCCCCCTCGCGCACGGTCCCTGTGGGCGTGGGAAAATTACCACCCCCAGCACGCCCGCGACCCCCGGGAACGGATACAGACCGCGGTGAGGGACAAAGCCCCTGGTTCGCACCCCCGTGGTGCGTGGAGAAAGTACCACGCCCGCCCCGCGCCCGCGAACCCTGGGACGGATATAGACCACGGTGACGGGACCACCCCCTGGCGCACTCGCACCCCTGTGGGTGGTCCGAGAAGATACCCACCCGCACGCCCCGCGACCATGGGACGGCTAGAAACCGCGGTGAAGGACCACCCCCTGCGCACCCCGTATGGTGTGGAGAAGATGCCACGCCCGCCACGCCCCGCGACCTTGGGACGGATACTAACCGCAGTGGGGGACCACCCCCTACGCACCCCCTGTGGTGCCGAGAACGTGCCACGCCGGCCACGCTGAGGGACCACCCCCTGCGCACCCCGTGTGGCGTAGAGAGAATACCACGCCCGCCACGCCCGGCGACCCTGGGACGGATAGGGACCGCGGTGAAGGACAGCCCCCTGCGCACCCCCTTTTATGGTGTTGAGGAAGCGACACGCCCGCCACGCCCCGCGATCCTGGGACGGATAGAAACCGCAGCGAGCCCTACGCACCCCCTTTTATGGTGCGGAGAAATTGACACCCCTGCTGCGCCCCGCGACCCTGGGACGGATACAGACCGCGGTGAGGGACCACCCCCTGCGCACCCCGTGTGGCGTGGAGAAAGTACCACGCCCGCCACGCCCCGCGACCCTGGGACGGATACAGACCGCGGTGAGGGACCACCCCTGCGCACCCCCTGTGGTGTCGAGGAAGTGGCACGCCTGCCGCGCCCCGCGACCCTGGGACGGATAGAGACCGCGGTGAGGGACCACCCCCTGCGCACTCCCTGTGGTGTCGAGGAAGTGCCACGCCTGCCACGCCCCGCGACCCTGTCCGATACAGCCCGCGGGGAGGGACCACCCCTACGCACCCCCTTTATGGTGCGGAGAAATTCACCCTTGCGCCACGCCCCGCGACCCTGGGACGGATAGAGACCGCGGTGAGGGACCACCCCCTGCGCACCCCCTGTGGCGTGGAGAAGGTGCCACGCCCGCCACGCCCCGCGACCCTGGGACGGATACAGACCGCGGTGAGGGACCACCCCCTGCGCACCCCCTGTGGCGTGGAGGAAGTGCCACGCCCGCCACGCCCCGCGACCCTGGGACGGATACAGACCGCGGTGAGGGACCACCCCCTGCGCACCCCCTGTGGTGTCGAGGAAGTGCCACGTCTGCCGCGCCCCACGACCCTGGGACGGATAGAGACCGCGGTGAGGGACCACCCCCTGCGCACTCCCTGTGGCGTGGAGAAAGTACCACGCCCGCCACGCCCCGCGACCCTGGGACGGATAGGGACCGCGGTGAGGGACCACCCCCTGCGCACCCCCATTTATGGTGCGGAGAAATTGACACCCCTGCCACGCCCCGCGACCCTGGGACGGATACAGACCGCGGTAAGGGATCACCCCCTGCGCACCCCGTGTGGCGTGGAGAAAGTACCACACACGCCACGCCCCGCGACCCTGGGACGGATAGAGACCGCGGTGAGGGACCACCCCCTGCGCACCCCGTGTGGTGTCTAGGAAGTGCCACGCCTGCCACGCCCCGCGACCCTGGGACGGATAGAAACCGCGGTGAGGGACCACCCCTGCGCACACCCTGTTGTGTCGAGGAGTGCCATCGCCCGCCAAGCCCCGCCGACCCTGGACGGATAGAGACCGCGGTGAGGGACCACCCCCTGGGCACCCCCCTACCACCCCCTGGGCACCCCCCTACGGTGTTGAGAAAGTACCACGCCCGCCACGCCCCGCGACCCTGGGACGGATACAGACCGCGGTGAGGGACCACCCCCTGCGCACCGCTTTTTTATGGTGCGGAGAAATTG